ATATGATTAAATCATTTTTCAAAAATGTTGATAATGAGTACGCCAATCGCGAGGGATTATTCGGTGTTAAGGTTCTGTTTGCAACGATAACAGCAAATCACACATATGTAGAAACGTTGAATACACATTGTAGTACTGTTTTAACAAGATATGTGTACCCAGAACGTTTTCATAATAGACGTCTGCAGAGTAGAAAAACATTCGAAAGGAAAACACGAACGTTTCCAAAATATTGGCTCGTACGACGCGGAAGAAAACCGATCTCCGGACCCCTCACCATGACTCGATTTCTCGAAAACAAACTGATCCGATTCGAGTTGCATTTGTTTTCCATGTTTTTCCTCGTTCGACGAAATCCGGCGGGAAGAATTTTTGCAAAATATGTACGGATCTATACATAAACACGATATAAATATTTCGGAGCAGTCTCGTACCAGTTTGCAAGTTTTCTGGGTTTCGATGATACTTTCTCGTCGCGATACTGTTAATTACAACCCCCCTCTAGAGCAAACGAGAAACTTCATTGTGAACTCTCTGCAACTAATGTTTCGATCTATTGGGAAAGTTATTCCGCGTCGCAGCGACGGGAAGGTCGACCTAAAAAAGGGATGAAAAAAAAAGAAGAAGGGAACAAAAAATGAAGTTTAATAGAAAGCTCCAATTGAAAGTCTCCGCGTTCTTCCCGCATGCCAGCAAATCCGTTCCGCGATCGATAATAAACGGATGGTTGCGTTCTTAAAGATAGTCGATAATTAAACCCGACACTGACAGTACCGCGGCTCGCATCGTCCGGCAAAATCGAGACAAAGTTCTTCCGTTTCCTGTCGTTCGTCTCTATCTTGCGAACGGGACACGTTAGTTTGTTTCGCGACAACCGTGTTCGTCGATGAAAATATTTCTGCCATTTTAATATCGTTTCGGAACGACGGGAAGTTGCAAACAAAGGCTGAAAAACTTTTCAAATTTTTATTATACGATACATTCTTAATAAATACGAACGATGATCGTTTATTTAATATTGTTGCTTTTAATTGATCCGATCGCGAATGGTTATTAAGCCGGTTCCCAGGTGAAAGTTTCTAATAAATTATTAAAACGCCATTATGACGAGGACGTATTGCACAGCCAAATAAAATAAAATCAATCCCCACGGTGAGCTATATGTACATACACTGGTGGACAAAATGATAAGGCACCGTTGTACACATAAGAAATTCCAGATGTATTTAGTAAAATCTTAAAGTTATTAGCAGTAAACTATGTTATAAGTGAGAAACTTCCTTTCAAGGCCACGTATCAATCTAGACAAACAAAACACGGTGCATTGTGGTCTTTGAGTTTCATTGTTTCGAAATTTCAGGTGGACAAAATGTTACGGCACTTGAAGTAGTCTGTTAGAAAACGTTGAAGTGTGCAGTTCTCTGCAAGTTTATCTTGTAGAAATTGCTTATTAATAGTTAGTTTATAAGTGTTTAAATACTTTTTAACCCAAAATTAAATTATGGGACGAGGAACAGCATTAAGCGAAGATGAGAAGATTAAAATACTCCAGTTGAAGTCTAATGGAGAAAATCAAGTACAGATTGCAAAAAAACTAAAAAGAAGTCGGTGTGTTATACAGAATTTTTTACAAAACCCCGAAAAATATGGGAAACAAAAGTCAAAGGGAAGACCTGCAGCCTTTTCTTCAAGAGAAAAAAGATTAATTTTGAAAAAAGCATCGAATTCTGGACTTACGCCTCGACAAATTGCAGTGGATTGTGGAGTTAACGTATCGACTAAAACAGTGAAAAGAGTAATTCAAAAAACAAGCTATTTAAAACGGAAGAAATTTACTATAAAGCCGCCGTTAACAGACAAACATAAGACCGCCCGATTAAGTTTTGCAATAGAGCACATTCAATGGAAAAACCAGTGGAAACGAATTATATTCACGGATGAAAAAAAACTGAATTTGGATGGTCCAGATGGATATAAATACTATTTCCACGATTTAAGAAAGGAGCAAAGGGTATTAAGTCGCAGACAATGTGGTGGTGGTGGAGTAATGATATGGGCAGGTATCGGCTATAGAGGAAAAACGGAAATAGAATTCATTCAAGGCCGTATGAATAGTGCTGGTTACTTAAATTTAATTAAGAGACACATAAACACTTACGCTCGCAGAATTGCTGGGACAAAATATATATTTCAGCCAGATAATGCAGCTGTGCATACCGCTCGCATAGTAAAAAATTATTTTGAAACGGAAAATGTAAATGTTTTAAATTGGCCCGCAAGATCTCCTGACCTAAGTATTATCGAGAATGTTTGGGGAAAACTCAGCCGAACATTATATGAAGGTGGAAAACAGTATAATACAGTGTCCGAATTAAAATCTGCAATTTTAGAAGCTTGGGAAAGCTTGGATCAAAATTATATAAAGGATCTGTACAGAAGTTTACCAAGAAGAATGATTGAAGTGGTACATCGTCAAGGGCAGTCGACACATTATTAAAACTTAAAAAAACTATGTAATCTTATTTCATTTTAATACTTTTGTAATTTTATATTGAAAGTGCCTTATAATTTTGTCCACACTCAATTTCATTTTCTTGGTATAAATAATAAATGGATTGAACGATTTATTTAATTTTTTCATATATTACGTCAAAACTAGTACCTTATTTTGTTGTGTATTCATATTCCACGTATATGTACAAATAGATGTTCATTTCCAAAAATTTTGAGGTGCCTTATCATTTTGTCCACCAGTGTATGTCCAGACCCCTGGACGGCTTTAGGCCTATCTACGCCTCTGTGACTCTAGGCCTCTATCTCTGAAAAAAGGTTACGACGCTGTCGTGCGCGAAGAAAAGAAAATTTACATTTTCCACTTCTGACCACGCCGGAGATCGTATTCTCTGTCGTTCGAAAAACTCGGTTTCTGTCCCGAGGAAACAGTTCTCCCTTTGTGACCTATTCTGCAGCTCGACGTCCACAAAAGACCCGTTTGTTCATCGGCCGAAACGTCGATAAAAACGTTCGTACAGCAACGGGTGAAGGACATTAGCTAGAAAAATATATTATATCGCTCGAAGCATGACAGATTGCGCCGACTTAATATTTCTCGACGATTTAAGCGGATACTCTACCGTAAAACGTTTCGTTCAATCAAATGTAAAACTTCTTTTTATCCGAAATTTATTCAAAGTAATAATTAAACGTAGTAAAAAAAGGAAAAACATCGTCTTACGGTGGCCAAGGTTTCGGCCATTTTGCACGTTTGAAAAAGTTCCTTTCATCCTGCTCGATGTAGTTCCATATATTAGGATAAAGTCTGTAAACAATTAAGAATGGAATAAAGTTATTGGATTATGATATTGTAGGAGGATAAAATAAATAATTATTTTGGAATTTCACGCGGTGGCTCTCGTAGGACGATCGAGTACAATAGAACCTCGTTGATTGCACGAGATTCATTCGTTGCTCCGTGTTGACAAGTGAAAGGGATGGTCGCTTAGCAACGGGTGAAGTTGGAGGAGGAAGTAAGAGATAGTAATAATCAATGTAATGGATGCGTACTGTCTAAGTGGGGCTCGTCGGATCGGTTACCTCCATATTTGCATGAATCTTCAGTACTCCCTTTCCTGCAATTCCTTCGTCGAATATTTCTCTCGATCTTAAATATAAAAACCAAGATCGTTAAGGGCTATTTCTCGTATTTAAGATATTCAGATTTTTGGTAGTAATGGAAGAAGCTCGATCGAAACAAATTAAATGGTCCGACGTTTGCTTGGATCTAAATTCTAAGGAGTTAATAGCGTTTTTGAGGCTCGAGGAACAATTTAACCGATGTTAGAATATCATAGGATCTCCGTTAATTGGCATCAGAGTCGCGCGTGTGTCTCCGAACGTCGAGGATTCGATTTCTTTCGAAGAGTTTACCTAACAACGTTGCCCATCGCGAGGACATTGGGGCCAGGGATTGTGTCAGGGCTTCTCGTTAGGTCGTTCTCTGGTTTTTAATGACTCCTAACTCCGTTACTGAGCACTACCGATTTCACTGGCCGTTGCTAAACGCGAATCGTGATTCCGTGAAGCCCCGGCTGCTGAAAGAATCGTGGCTTGTTAGACGCTGGTTGCCTAATACGAGCCACCCCGGTGATAATGACACGTTCCGGGCGGGTTGTTCGATCTTTTTGCCCGGGCCTCCAGCTACGCACGAATGGCTACGAACCAGAGTGCCAATGACTCCATTGTCGGGTCGGCAGACACGACGTGGGTGGTGTTTTTAACGCGTGCCCGTCGATAGGGCCACCGAAAAACTGAATCGATCGAGATCGGTGCAATTCGAAAGACCTAATCTTGTACAAATCCTTTTTTTTAATCTAAATGCGATCCGTTCACATTCGTCAGTATTTCTTTTGATTCTCCATCGATTTAACTACTCCTCTGGCAAAATGGCGTCGCAACAGGCGAAAGCTAAACGAGCCAAAGCGATTAACTCTTGAAAGCTTGTCCCATTTAAAATTTTAGCATCGAAATGATCGATAGGTAACTCTATATATTTAAAATACATTGACGAAAATAATATTAAGAAAGGAAGTATATTATTTTATCAGTTTCCTTTCTTTTACTTTTGTAGAGTTTGTCAAGTTTTCGACGAAATTGAAAAATTTCAAATCGTTCTGGAAAAATTATTTTTAATTGCGATGGTCAATTACAATCATTTTTGGTGAATAGACATATCCCCGAAATCCTACGCAGTTTCGAGAAAAAAATTCTTTACTGAAAATCTAATGTGAGGTCAGAAATGGTTGCCCGCATGCTTATCTTTAAAACATCATAACTCCTGAACGGATTGGAGGATTTTAATATTTCAAAATGCAAACAACGTGTATTTTGGTGTAGAATATGTAGAAATTCTAAGGAATTTCGAAAAGTTGTTCCTTAACCCCGTAAATATTTAAAATTGTCTCTTCTCGATGCCTGGGCTGACGATTCCTTCCGTATTGCAGGTTGCAGTCGGAAGGGGGAGGTTGTGGATCCTTGGAACGATGTACAGATCCTGATCGCGGAGCGTCCCGGGCCCCGCAGGGGTGGAGATACGGTGGAACAGATCACCGAGGACACCGGTGTGGATCACCGCGGGTCGACGGAGCCGCGGTAGCTAGAGCGCGGACCTGGGGGAGGCTGGAGAATGAGCATGTTCAGCATACTGCGTAGAAATTGGGCACTTCGCGTGTCGGTAGTGCTCAACATCTGCGTGTTGCTCTACGTGTGCGCCCACTTCGGCTCCTCCGGGCCCTGGATCGAGGAACCGCCGACGAACTGGGCGGCGCCGTTGCAATCGGAGACCTTCAGCACCGTGGATCTCGTCAACGGCACGCAGAAGGGCGCCGCGTCGTCGTCGGTCGTGCCCGCTACCAAGGATGCAGGCAGCAAGGGTTCCCGTGGCGGTAACGTGACCAAACTGGCCAGGGCGAGGCTCCTCACCACGAAACCGACCCTCAACAACGAGGCCAAGGTCGAGACTGTGGACAAGACGGATCAGCGACGCAATCAGACGGTAGTCTTTTGCGGCTTCTACCCTTTGTACGAGTGACATTTCCTCGAGGGGCAGAAACTCGAATCAACCCTTTAAGGGAGCATTCTAGTCTAGAGCTGATTTAACGAGAAATGGCAACGCCATACTTACAAGATTCGAGCTATAGAAAAGAATGAGAAACGGAAGAAATCGATTTTACCAAAGTGTCTAGAGCTAGTTTAACGAGAAATGGCAACGCCATACTTTTAAGATCCGAGCTATAGAAGTAAATGAGAAATGAAATAAATCGATTTTTCCAAAGTGTCCGGGATTAGAATGCCCCCTAAAACGGCCGTAGATTACGATACTTTACGCTGTCGCTTGTTTCCGTAATTCAACGTGATGTATATCTGGCACGGGGCACCGAAGCGACACGGTAGAAACGCAAAGGGGCAGTGAAATTATTGGCAGACGTTCAACTGTGCCAAGAAGTTTTCTCAGGACACACGACTGCACCCAGGAACGGATCGATGTCAAACGATGCCCTAAACGCGGCCCAACATCCATTGTTTAACCGACACGACATCGACGAGTCCTCGATATTAGATCAAAGTTCTTTTAATTGCAGTAAATGAAAAGTGCAACTGAAGAATAGAATTCCGAGTTGCTCGTGCGCTGGGAGTATTTAGATGCAAGATACCTTAAAGAGGGATAGCTTTAGCTTTAAGAATGTCCTTGACAAAGTTTCCTAGTGGACACACTTAGGGGAGCACACAATCTACGTGATCTTTATGCGTGGACGACACCAATATCGTAACAGGGGACAAGGGTCCGACTGGGGTTGTACTGCAGATGCAGGCCTAAGTGGTCGGAGGTTATGGCTGCTAATAAACCTTCAAGCCATCGTCTTTATATAACATCGTTATGGCCTCTTTGGACCTGAAAAGCGTAACTCTTGCTACGGGTTTTCCGAGTCGAAAGAGCGGTACATTGCAACCATATCGTAAAAACGCCCTTCTTAAGTGCCCAAACGGTTACACCTTGGAGAACTTTCAGCGTTTTTCGTCGTTTTAATCGAATTGAAACTTTAACGACAAAACTGCCCTGTCGTATGCGTAGACTTTATCGATACGTATTCTTTTTCAACCTTTGTTAATTTTTACTGCTAGATTTGCATTCAAACTACTTTTTCTCGAGCGTTTTGTAATGTTTACGTAAAGTCTGGCACCCAGAATAATCTATTATTTATAAAAAGGATTTTCAAATGGTTCAAAATTCTGAGACTTTGATCGTTAATAGCTTGCATATAAGATAAACAAGATTTTGTTAGTAAAGAGCCAGACAGGAAAAGAAAAGATAAGACAAAACAAACGCAACCGCCAACAATGGCGAAATTGCATGCCAATCGGCACTGGTTTATTTTTAACATACTAGTCGTAAATTCCTCGGAAAATTTCGCATAAAAAATGCATCGGGATGCAATGTTTGTCGCACGTGTTGCAATTGCAAACATTTTGTTGTATCTCGAGAGTATATAATCTACCTATCAACAACGCTCAATCCCAGGCGGTTTATTAACGTTGTGAAACATATCACAAAATATTGATTTCACAAACATTGTACTTTAATACTTTTGTACATAGAATGTTCCAATGAGTTTGTGGAAGTAAAACAAAGTGTACAAAGTATATTTAACTAAGCACACAAAGTGTACCTGCATTTTTCTCGCTTCTTATGTAAAATACTTTGATATTTTAATGGTAGGATTTAGTCGGTTTAACATTTTTGCAAAACATTTTGTCTTTTCTTTCCTGTTCGTTTTGTCCGCGATCCCCAAAGAATTTTAACACGACCTCTGAAGAGTCGCGATCCATAGTTTAAGGGGTCTGGTACCTCTAGCGGTATGGAAAACGAGGCATTTTTTTAAGCAACACTGAAGATAAAGTAAGCATTCAATTATCCTGAAACTTTGCACTGTATTTAGGTATAACAAATGTTGAAAAAAACCCTTGGCAATGTTTAAAAAATATTTATGATTAAGCCTACACAGCGCCATGTCCCCGAGCCACTTCTTGTTTTGATGCCCAGCTGGTGTGCAGGATTGTGGTAAAATGGTTGTTATGTACAACAAAAACCGAAATATTCCATTAACTATGATAAATGTCCTAGGCATTGACGATGAGACATTTCAATTTATATAAAAATGAACAATGTGGCAGATATTTGAAACTTAAAATCGAATTTTAACGCAAAAACGAGTTCTTATTACGAATATTTTGCAGAATTATTTGACAATTTTGAAAAAAACGGATCGTCAATGCCTAATAAATATAATAGTAAAGATAACTGTAAATTTTCAAAGCAATTGATTAATTAGAACTGGAGTAATGCTACACACCGTTTTGTAAAACATAGTTCCGAGGAAAATGCATTTAACGCGCTACAGGACGCAGATACACGTCATCGTTTGGGGCTCTAAATTTTCAGCAAAAACATTGTTCCGACACTGAGACCTTTCGCATAATGTTTTTAAGGCTTCAAACTATTATTTAAGCCAAAAAAAAAAAATTGAATTTTTCAATATTCTAGAGTTACCAGACCCCTTAAGAAGCTCCGCTGTAGTGGACGCAGCATTTAGAATGAGGGTTCTTTCACACGGGAACTCAAGGCTCGACCTCACGAATAACGAGGACCGGCTACCAGCACGAAGGTCCTTCCACTTGCTTGTGTGAAAGGGCTTTTATTCTCGATACCGATTCTCAAGAATAAAACTCTCGAACGAACACTCTCGATCATTCTCAATATCGACTTTGAAGATCGAAACTCTCGAATGGACAGTGGGGTTAATTTATCACAGTGAAAATATTTTATTCGTTCGATTCATGATCGTGGAATAAAATATTTACTAACCGAAATAGTATCGTTCATTTTCCAATTGAACTTAAATTGACCCTGGAGCTCTCGAGACATCGATTCGGTAGCATCGTAGTGGCCATAAAGAACGATCAAAGATTAAAGACCGAGCAGACTGTGGAATTACACAGTCCTCCCGAGAGAGTCTCAAAAAATTACAACGCGTCAAACGGAACACAGCCAGCAAATTCGGTTCCTGTTCGGTTTAATATTTCAGACACGGAACGTTCCACGTGCATCCTCCTCCCTTTCAGTTCTCTCCCCGACTCTGTGCAAAATTGAAACGAACACGCTTACCATCGACTCTCGTGCTCCCCGACCTTTCTCCCTTTGCATTCGTTCGACCCACTGGCCCGCTAGAACCCGGACCGGGGTTACAGCGAAGGGTTAAAGGGCGAAACCACACGATAGCTTTCGAAAATTAGATACCATTCGCGAGGAATCTTCAAGTGAATTGAAAATTACTCTTAATTCTGATTCTATGCTGTCTGTTTTAAAGTGTGGTTTGCAATCGTACCCCAATGAGGGTCGTGTCTCCTGAAATATAAATTTATCAGTCGACGAATAAAGATGGATGGTTCTAGAGGAGTAGATCCACAAGTTCAAGTTTCACTTAAATCGTTGACCAGAAGGACTCTCTTTCTGCTCTCCTCCCAAGATTCGAACAGCGTCTCCGGCGTTGGTGTACAGAAAGTCACTCGACGCCCAGCTACGGACGGCGATGGACTCGTTTAACCGTTGGTTTCTCTTTAAGGTGAAAAACGAGGCGCCGATCGTCCGGCCGACGATGAGCCTGAAGGAGGCCGTGCTTTGCAACGAGAAGTCGTCGGAGCCTAGAAGAGCACAGCGGGGCGACTACTGGGTCCTCTACAATTACGTGCCGATGAGCATGGCGGTGAGATGCTGGGAAAGCGTGACGTACACCACGCACGCGGACTACACGTTCCTGGACAATCTGGAACCTCTGCTGGAGCGATGGAGGGCACCGATATCGATTGCGATGCATGCCCCTGGCACAGACTTCCCGGCGACCCTCGACGCCATCAAGTACTCGAGAAACTGTGGCAGTCCGCTGGTCTCCCAGCTGGTCACCTTCCACGTATTCTTCAGCAGCAAACACGTGCCAAAAGTGGTAAATACGACCGCCATCTTCCCAGGTTCTCGGCCCCTTTGGCCTTGCCTTGGGAAATTCATTGGTTTCCTGTCCCCATCGGTTCCAAGAATCCGCTCAAGAGACCAATTTTTTTGTAAATTTTTTTATTCAGCAAAACGACAGAGTAACGAAAGAAAATATTTGTAAAGACATGTGTATATCATTCTCATTGGTTTTTAACACATTGCGTACCGCACTCTGTTCGCTCAACGTGCTTACAGGGTCCGCATATTTTCGGAACTCTAGAAACACTTTATACGATACATATATGCACTTTTTTAATTCGCATTTGGTATTAGGTCTGAGTTAGGTATTATTAAATATTACTATATATTTTTTATACATCTATTTATTATGTAGACTTTTTTACATTTTAACTATTATTTGTTTTACACACCTGAATAATGCTTTAGAGTATGATATCTGGTACAGCATTCTCTTTTGTGCAATGACGTTTGGCACAATTTGCAACTATATTTAGTTTCGCTCCTTTTTCCACTGAACAAGCAGACTTTACATTTTTTCGTTGGGAATTTCTTTTTGTCTTTGCCTATTATTGGTTCAAGGGTATTCTGTTTCACGTTACCCGAGAGTCTAAATGGTGGATTGATGCGTATATGATTTCTTGTATTTGAAATACTTTCTTCAATATCCACAATCGTATTTATTGACTTTTCTTCCGATGTCCATAATTTCATCATAGCCAGTTAAAAATCTTTATATTTCATTTTTTTATCATTACAAAAATTATAAATTTCGAATACATTGAATAGACCGAAGTTGATGAGATATAACACCACCCTTTTCGGCCATTTAATTGTTTTTCTCAATATTGAGTTATATGACAGATATTGGTCAGCGAGGTCGACGCCGTTCATGTTTAGATTATAATGGTTTTGTATTTTCCAGTACACTCAACCATTTCAAATTTATGGATTGTTGAAATCATTCGTACTTCCATTTTATTTTTCCAAATTTGTAATAAAATATCACGTTTCCGCTTGAAAATAGTTTCTCCTTTCTTTTTTTTGTATCGAAAAAACATGAAAACGAGATATCTCGACACCCGGCGACAACGTTCTGCTTGCTGTAGACGAGATATCGCGTTACCCGTACGCGATGTGTTAATTGTTTGTGACTACGAAAACGCACCGAATCGAAAAGTCTAACACATAATCGTTCATCCGATAGGAAGAATTCTAGACCTGCCCATTGGTTTATTGTATCGAATAACAAGACTGAAACACAATACAGCATCCTCCAGCGAGAACCGTTTAAAAAGTAGATCGGAATAAGAGGTCGAGAAAGTATTAATTGGATACGAAAACAAATTAGCTACTTATTCAGCCCTGTCCCACATATACGCGATCTCACTTTTTAATAGGCGAATCTACCTGAAAATAGCGTACTGCTCGCTTACGTGTGTATAATTATGACGCAAAATTGGCGCGTTTGTATTAGAAAATGTAATTGCGGTATGACGTTTTAATGAATTACATGCATGCATCGATGATTTACCTCTGGAAAGCAAACTAATAACAGAGTTTCGCCATAGAAAAGTACTGTCACAAAAACCACTTCTCCCTGGCATTTTAAGTTTCTTGAATTTTCGTAACTCCGTATCATCGATATGCATGATCGTTTCGGTTTGCTGAACTCATGTTTGTTTCTCTATCATAGTTATTAGGTTGGTGCGTATGAAATGTCGGATTTTTAAGTGAATATATAAAACTGCATATCTTTTTTCAAAAGCTGTTTACTTAATTAAAATATGCTCTATTTGCTTCAATACACTTTTCCAACGAGATTTTAATGCATAGAGGCCTAACTAAAGAAATTCTGATCTTTAGAATCAATAAGTTCTAATATAGAATTTTTCAGGCTGTCTTCATTTTCATACTGTTTAGCCCGTAAAAACTGTTCTAAATGTTTAAAAAACTGAAAGTCGGTTGGCGAAAGATCCGGTGAATAAGCTGTGCTGCAAAATTTCATATTTTAATTCATTTAATTTCGCAATTGTGTTGTACAACGTATGCGGCCGAGCGTTTGTCGTGGAGAAGTATTGGGCCATGCCGATTAACAAATGATGAGTGTATAATTTTGAATTCTTCATGCATTTCATCAATGTACTGACAGTACTTTTCGGCTGTAATTGTCTCCCCAGTTCGGAGGAATGAGTAGTGAATTACTCCAGTCACATTCCACCAAACTGTTATTAAAATTTTCCGTGGATGAAGTGATGGCTTTGGAGTATTAACACAAGTCTCATCCCTATCAAGCCACCGAGCACACCTTTTCCTATTCTCGTAAAGGACCCATTTTTCATCACAAGTAATAATCCGATCGAAAAATGGCACTTGATGAAATCGGGTTAGTAATGATGAGCATACGTTCAACCGATTCAACTTATTTTACTCGGTTAGTTCGTGTGGTACTCACATATCCTATTTTTTCACCTTGCCAATTTCAAAAAGGTGTCGCAATATTGTTATATGGTCAACTTTCATTCTGGTAACAAGTTCCCTTGTAGGTACAGTTTTCAGAGCATCATTTTTCACAGACGTTTTGGGTCTTCCACGCGGTTCATTTTGTAGGGAAAAATCATCAGACCGAAAATTTTCAAACCAACGCTGCACTTTTCGGTCGTTAACAGTATTCTCCCCAAACGCCTGGTTTATATTGCGTGCAACTTTTGCAGCATTATTACCAAGTTTGTACTCATATAAAAAAATTACACGAATATCGGTAGAATTCATATCGGTATAAAATTCAAAATAAAGAACAAAAGGGAACACTTTTGAAATGTGACTCTGGCAATGGACAGTACGACTATAAACGAGGTTATGCCAAAAACAAAAGCATAAAGAAAACAGGGAGACAAACGTTCACATGTAAAGAAAAACCGTCATTTCATATGCACCAACCTAATATTTGGTTATTTCGTAATCGCTTGGTATCATGATTGAACTGTTAGGGTGGTTGTGTCGTAACTACGGTTAAACTTAAACGTTGATCTCCGTTGTTTCGATACAAAAGCAGTCTTTCGTAAAGCAACGAAAAGTGCCTAAAAATTTCACGTTTAGACCGGAATATCTCTTCAGTATTTGTTTAATTTGTTGGAAATAGGTACCGCCATCGGAGAAAGTAATGTCTGGTACGTACAATTGCACGCTGGGGCCGCCGTGGATCAACGTCACGCTTTCAAAGATGTATAAAAATGAGAAAAAGTTGCTCTATCCCGTGAACGTCGGGAGAAACATAGCGCGAGAGTCTGCGCCGACGTTCTACGTGTTCGCCAGCGACATCGAGCTGTATCCAAGTCCAAATTTGCCTGCAAAGTTCCTCAATATGATTAGGAGAAAGGATCAGCCGGCCCTTTACAAGCCTAATCCGAAAGTTTTTGTACTGTCTATCTTCGAAGTGGACGAGAAGAATCAACCACCGAACAACAAGACGCATTTGGTGAGTGCGGGTTTTGAGAGTTGACAAATTCCAAACGACAGTTTTTATTCGAATAACAGGAAAAAGTTATTTGGCTTTAGTTTGAAAGATTTACGATGTTTCCTTCGATAAAGAAACGGTAATCTAAAAATACTGATCATTTACAACGTAAAAGACTTCCAAGCAAGAATAAAACCACTATATTCCCAAGTACTTTACTTAATCAACTCTACTCTTTTGTCGTATCCTTCGGTTAATTAGCTTCACGCAACAAAGCTACCTCTAATTAGAATATTCAGATCCCAACAAACGGTCGTTTCGTTGTTTCGTAACAAGTATCGTCCAGATCCCTAGGGGAAAACCCACACGAAAATCTTATTAAACCCGTCGCCATTAGAAAAAGTAATCGGTGGATATTCCAACAGAGTCCATTCACATTTGACATTTAAATTATGCGAACTTGACGACAATTAAACGCATGAAAAATGTACTACAACGACTGCATAATACATCCGACAATACATTAAACGACACCAATGCGAGGGTCGTTTAATCAATGGCGCTTCCTTTGACCGTGGACCTTGATGCGTACAATTAGTGCCGCCATTGTGAAGTGCAGCTCGCCACTGCACTGGCCGCATTTCTAGAAAATATTACATTCGATTCTCTCGCGTATCGTTTTCTAGCACTATAAAAATAAATAAAGATACAAAATAAAAATAGAAGTAAGAATACACGAAATTCTTCCTTTATTGAAAAGCAAAGTGTGATATTGAGGATTATTTTTTTAGATTCAAATGCTGAAGGCTGGCACGGCTATTCCTTTCCACAAGAAATTGTGCTCCGGTTGCCACAATGTTCCTCGAAGCAAAGAATGGCAAGAGACACCGGAGACTGAAGATCTCCACGTGTTTCACGTGGGCAAAAGGATCGGAAGTTTCGTTCACTGGGAACCGATTTTCATCGGGACCAATAATGACCCTTTGTACGACGAGAGGCTCAGTTGGGAAGGAAAGAGCGACAAAATGACACAGGTGCGAATCAAATATCGATCGCGAATTAGAAACTAAACAGTATCGAGGAAAAGATCTTTTATAATCTGACCAACAGCTGCATACTTCGATATCATTGAAAGATTTATTTAACACCAACAGTATACAGGGTGTTTCCTTAACTTTTGCCCACCTTTTTTTCGAGCACTTCTGTTAATCTGACAAAAAGATGTTTCCAACAAAAGTTTATCAATGTCGTATGTACTACAAGATAAAATACTTAATTTAAAAAAATTATTATTTTTTCAATAAGAAATCGAGGTCACCTTGATTTTTTTAAATAGCATTGCATATTTTTTATTTCATATTATTATAGCTTGTGTTAAGACGAATTCAACGACCTGCTATAGCATGACCTTCGGATGATGTTGAACTGAGAAAATTGACTTCAATCAGTAGAAACGGTATGCGTAATCGAGATGTTGTATGCCACATAATTCCGTTGCGGCTTCACGATAATCTAGTGTTTACTTTCATTATAAGGCTGTTATTAGATTTTCAACTATTTACTAACTTGCTGACAGTTTAGTATTGTAAGAAATAGTGTATGCATGTGTGTATGTGAGGCGAGCAACAACCGAAGGCGGGTAACAATAGCCGAGAAGAGAAACAAAATGATGAGCGGGTGAAACAATGGTCAAACGAGAGGAAGGTATTATTAATCCAGTCGTAATCCAGTCGTAACCCAGTCGTAGTATCGTGTGCTTTCTTATAATTTATCATATAAAAATGAATTAGTTTTCAAAAAGAGAACGATACGACATGTTAGCTGTCTTCTACGAATGTGGAAGAAATGCACGCAAAGCAGTAGTTTTATACAAAGAACGATTTTTGAATAGAGTTTGTCCTTCCGCGGATTCTTTTCGTTATCTTGAAAAATCACTACTTCGCTATGGTAAATTTCCTGGCGAAAAGAATAATACCGAACGTAAGAATACTGTTACCAACGAGGAGAACGCTATACTAGTATTGAGTTATTTTGAAGTTCACCCGCATGCGTCTATTCGACAAGTAGCGAACGAATTAAACATGTCCGTAAAAAGTGTTCATGTTATTTTGAAGTGGTATAAGTATCATTCATTCAAAATGACGTTAGTCCAGCAACTACGTGATACTGATGGTCGTCGACGATTGACATTCTGTGCGTGGCTATCTACTATTTTGGAAGACGATCCTGAAATATTAATAAAAATTCTGTGGATCGACGAATCATGTTTTACAAATAACGGCATCATTAATCGTCATAATCAACATTATTGGTCTGTGGAAAATCCACACTGGATACGAGAACGTAATTTTCAAGTTCGAATTAGTGTCAATGTCAGGTGCGGAATTTTACATGGCTATCTAATCAGACCATATTTCATCGAAGGAAGCTTAATAGGGCAACGATATCTTAACTCCCTGCGAGAAGAACTCCCAGGCTTATTAGATAATATTCCACTCAATATCAGAAACAGCATGTATTTAAGACAAGATGGATGCCCTGTCCACAATGCCCGCATAGTTCGTCAATATCTCGATTTTAAAATCAGAAATCATTGGATAGGAACACATGGTCTAATTCACTGGCTACCGCGTTCTCCAGATATATCCCCTTTAGATTTTTATCTCTGGGGACATCTGCAGTCCATTGTTTACGAAAAACCAATTGACAACGTTCAAGAACTCCGAGAACGAATAATACATTCATGTAGTAACATAGATCGAAATGTGTTAATTGATGTGACAACTAGAAGTTTAGTACAGAGAGCAGAGTTCTATGCTGTAGAAGATGGATTCCAGTTTGAACATAGGTTGTAACATAATTTTGTCACAAGTTATTATCAACTGGATCATCTAAACTTTCAAGATTCATCCTCATAGCCGACTTGGTACTCTTATTTTCGTTGAATTTATTTAATGATATAATTTTTTGGAATAAACTTATCAATTTGGCGATTGATGTATCTTAAAATAAAGCAATTTCCATCTTTGATCGTTTTTGCTGATTAAAATCAATTTTCTCAGTTCAAGGTTATTCGAAGGTCATGCTATAGCAGGTCGTTGAATTCGTCTTAACACAAGCTATAATAATATGAAATAAAAAATATGCAATGCTTTTTAAAAAAATCAAGATGACCTCGATTTCTTATTGAAAAAATAATAATTTTTTTAAATTCAGTATTTTATCTTGTAGTACATAAGACATTGATAAACTTTTGTTAGAACATTTTTTGCTAGATTAACAGAAGTGCTCGGAAAAAGGTGGGCAAAAGTTAAGCGAACACCCTGTATACGTTTAAACATAAATATAAATTTCATTTTCAACGAAACTGATACACCGGGAACGCAATAATTGTCCATGCCAATCGTGTTCCGCTGTACTATTTTCTTCTACGTTTGTTCCTTCTGCTTTAAACGCTCTTAACAGCAAGAGTGCTAAAAAGAATGGTCGGATCTTTTCTGATTCAGGGCTACGCGCTGTGCGTCCTCGACTATGACTTCCTGATACTGGACAACTCGTTCCTGGTCCATCGTCCTGGCATAAAGATCTTCAAGAAGGACGCGCATCGGGAGATGCTCACCGCAAAGACGAACGCGCTGATCAAGAAGATAATCATACCGGAATTGAAAATCCTTTACGGAACACGTAAGGGCTGTGCCGTGTAGCCCGTGGAGATTCGAGCGCGTCGCGTGCTCCACAGGTGTCCTCCTGTCAAGTGGCAGCATCCGAGATCATCCTTGACATCTAGAATGTTTCAGACGCGGCAAAAGATCAATGGAACTCGCGAGGTTCGCCCGGTCGCGCTTGGCCCCGAAAATCCGAAGAACGTATATTGTGATTCGTAGTTGTCCTAAAACGAATGCCAATCGAACGGTGCCGAAAGTATAGATCGTTAGGTTGCGGAGGGACGACCTCCTTCGAGCAAATTTCTCCTGTAATCGTTGGTTCCTGCACCGTGTTTAACGCGTCGCTCCATTGTTTCTCGTACGCTGAATTCTGTGCAACGCGAAACGGCGACAGCAAAAAAAAAACAGAAGGGAATAGTGACCGGAACTGACCGGCCCCGACGATAGGAGTGTTAGAAATGTTTCTCGCGATGATCGTACGATTCTCTCCGGCTACGAAAAGAACCTTATTATACATATTTTTCACCCGAAACGTGTTAGGAAGTATAATTGTACATATTAGCATTTAAAATGGTGCCTCGTGTATAACTGTTACAGGGATGGGCTAAACATATTACAATAATGCACGGTTAAATTTCATGGTGGGGTATTTTTTTATAAAACTGAACTCGAACATTGGCAAAGAAGAAGAATAGTTACAGGGAACGAGTAAGTATAGCATGTCGAGAACTCGACATAATGCTGGAGGATGAGCGGGGATAGGTTCTTGGAAATTTAGCTGTGCACCACTGTACGACGAAGACATTATTTACGTGCAGCCTGTTTGTCCATTACCTACCGAGATATCGCTTTGAGTCTTGCACTAAGTTTGATTAATTGCTAGCTACTAATAGTAACGTTATTTTTATCTATTTTGCAACTTAATAATACATAACACGTCATTAGTATGTTAATTTATTTAGAGAACCTACAGTTACTCAAACTCTGTGCCGAAAGTCACGCCTCGGTAGAATTGGAATTTAATGTATTCACGTGTTGTACTCGGTATTGTGCATTTATACAAAGCGATTCGTTTGACTGAAAATGTCTGGAACCATTCTCTGAAGTATTCCTCATTAAACGGATACCGAGTACAAAATAGTGTACAGGAGTATTTAATGCAGTATGAATGAATACAATATTTGTTGTTCGTCACTTGTTCCAAGCACTGAATGCATGTATTCGGTATTTTAAATGTATTTCAGTTACAGAATGATTGGAACGTGCCCATTCCTGTCTCTGACTATTTACAAGGTTTTTGTAGTTTTTAGCGATCGTGTGCATTTTATCTCATTCCACGTTTTCTCCGACCGTTGCTCTTTTTGCAAACAAAAAGAGGAAACAGAACTCGCATTAGTATGCAAGCATGTGTGCAAAGGTACGCCAAAATGGTGAGCTGCTCAAAGTAATTACAATTAAATAAAACCAACATCTGGAATGAGAGGAAATACGGTACGTTCTACAACCTAGTATTTGTATTGAACGTTTCGTTCGTACGAGTGGCTGTCCAAACATTTCTCGTTCGAGTACGCGGTCCTCTGATTAATTTCAGCGGTATATATTACAGTAAACACAAATTCTACATTTCAATCAATAATTTTTGGTTCCTCTAATTTTATAGGAATTTATTTCTAGTACCCTACGCAATAAGGTATCTTAAACTCAGACCAGAATACCATTCGTTGTTTACCTCACTGTTCGCTTCTTATTTTCGAGTTTTAAAAGCACGATTCCACACTAATTGCAATTTAATCCTTAATCATATTATGTATCTTAATTAAAACGATACGAAACCAAATGCACGCATAAGTACTGAAAAACTTACGTTAAGCGTGAACGTAAAGGTTTTGCGAGACGAGCATTGCAACAGTTAAGTTACACGCAGAATTTTCTTCGATTTGTCCAGGTCTTAAAATTCGTTGATACGATTTCGTTCTTCGACGAAAATAATGAAGGAAAATCAAACACAAAACTAACCAGGAATCAAGAAACACTTTACTCTCCAAGACTGAGGAACACGTTTGATAACAATTTACTAGGACAGTTATCCTAAAAGCTTTCGATTAATAAACGTCAAGTCATTAGTTATTTAATGATCTTTTAATTAGTGTAACTCGTTAAGGCTAACACATTTCTTTATATACTTTATTTTATTTCTGTCAAAGAGAATTGGTGCTTCCAGTGATAGTAATCGGTGATCGATAAAGAAACGTTGATTTTTTTGATCGTCGTATAGAAATTCAACTATTCTTTGCAATGTATAAATTATTGCAATGAATCTAATTGAGAACAGCATAATTATTTCTTTTATTGTGTCTTGCGAAATCTTCGCAAGATAAAAGTATTCCATAACTCTGTAAATATTATGTGCTAATACTTTTCCTCGATAATTAGTAAAAAAGAATTCGTGTAAAACACATTTAAAGATTGGTGAGCTAAAAAATTTATTACGCAAATGCAATTTCGCGTATCATTATACGATCAACTTGAGAATTATTCTCGGATCTTAAACTGTGTATGCATGAATGTGTGCGTGTGTGTATATACATATACATATATATATATATACACCTTTAACTATATAAGTACATAAATATAATATAACTGTTACTATTTTACACGGATTAATTAGGAAATAAATGTGAGTTTTGACGTTTTAAAATAATAAACGTACTGTCTTGGGATGTTCGACGCAAGAAACTTTTTTGCATTTATTTTAGTTTTCTGGTGAAATCAGAAAAGAGGTGCACATGATTTTATCTTGTTGTATCTTCAAACAATAAAGTGAATAAAATTTACCTTGGAAAAGCTGATCAGTTTTGATCATATTAGCGAGTACAGTATTAAAAAAATAAAGACGTTGAACAAATCATGACAGTAAATGAGTGAGATAACAAAAAAGTGTGATTCCATCGCTAAGAGTACTCTTGGAATTGAAGAAAAAAAATCGTGTCATCATTTTTCGTGACACATAATCAGACATCCATTTATAAAATGGAATTCCCCGTGGGATGCACCGGATTTCAATTTCTCAAAAAATTAATCGACTTCTTTTAGTTACAAGTACTCTCGGTGATGCGACTTCAATCAAAACACGTTTATAAATTAACATATACATATTGTATAGTATACATATAGAGGGTGTTCGGCCACCCGTGAGAGAAATTTTAATGGGAGGTTCTAGAGGCCAAAATAAGACGAAAATCAAGAATATTAATTTGTTAATTGAGGCTTCGCTAAAAAGTTATTAAAAAATTAAATTAAAAAATTTTTAATTGTTCTAAAAAAATTATTTTCGATTGCAGGGGTCAATTACAATCATTTTTGGTCAATAAACATACCCCCGAAATCCTAACTATTTTCGAGAAAAATAATCATTACTAAAAATACAATGTCTAACCATAACTGTCTGTAATCATTTTGAAAAAATTATTTTTGGTTGCGAGGGTCAATTATAAGCATTTTTGGTGAATAGACATACCCTCGAATTTCTACGCACTTTCGAGAACAAAATTCAGATAGGTGCCTAAATTTTTCGCTGAAAAAATAAAATTTCAAATCATTCTAAAAAAATTATTTTCGGTCGCAGGGGTCAATTATAATCATTTTTGGTGAATAGGCATATCCCCGAAGTCCTGCGCATTTTCGAGAAAAAAATTCAGTACGGGTGGAACTTTAAACGTTAATAACTTTTTAACGAAGCCTCCATCAACAAATTGGTATTCTTGATTTTCGTCTTATTTTGGCTTCTAGAATCTCCCATTAAAATTTTTCCCAGAGATGGCCGACCACACTTCATATAGTATACATATACATATGTATATACATATACATATATTCAAAATATTTTTTTTATCGCCACCCCGAGTAATCTGAAAGGCCACAGGTGTACATACTATCACGATAATAAGACTTGGAGAACTATATACATAGTGGGGTCAGAAACGAACGTCTCAAAACACGTTCATCGAGGATATTTTGGAAAATGCAAAATGTTGACTCAATTTTGTTGTGATAACCCTAGGGCACAAACTAATTACTATTTCTATAATTATGTTTTACTAGCTGTAAAGAATACTTCAGATTTTACACCGTTACACGATAAATTGTTTGGTAAATGTATCTTTGTAATTATGATTAGGAGAATTTAATTTTCGCAATTTAGATTTTGTTTCGACGCTCGAAGAGTTGACACATTAACGCAATATTTAATTAGTCTCGAAGGAAATTATGTGATTAAAATGGGCGGAACGGAGCAAAGTTCGAAAAGTAGAGGGTGAGGCGCTTAAAACGGGTCATTCGAGTAACAATAATTTACAATAAAAAATGAAAAAATTCGAGCAATTTTTGTCCGACGCCATCTTTTTTATTATAAAAAGAACTCGCACTGTACATCAGTCATAAGTATGATTATAACAAGGCAAAACGTAATTTATAATTTCAGAGATATAAAACATTATTTATTGTAATCCATATATGAAAATATTAAAGTAGATATAATGGTTCATCGCCGAAAGTAAAACATCTTTCGTTTCTGTTCATCGACATCCTTGATGCAAGTAAAACCGGCAACGTGAAAGTAGATACGTCGTCCTGATTGCGATTTATATTAAAAAAGGAACGGAAACAGAATTTCTGAATTACAGAAAGTATGTTTCGGGGATGAAAGTAGCATTGTCATTTATTTTGAAAGTCTGATTAATTCGTAAGGCACGATTGTAACTCGTAGATATTATTAAAATATCTTTACAATGTGGAAATGAAGTTTGCAATTGACAATATTTTCATGTACGGAAACACTGAATAGCGTTTACGTAAATAGTGTGTCTTTCTCTTGAAACTGAATTCTCTTACAGCGTAAGTTCCTTTAATCCCTCTTGCCTCCTCTTTTAATTTGTCGGGGCTGTGCAACTGTGTGTAACGATTGCTCGTAAATAATAATGTGTATTCTGTGCCTTATCGTCCTTGTCTCAATGCGTATGCATGTGTGTTTGAGAGCTGCGTGTTTGATCTGAGAACACGTTAAAAAACTGACTTGATTATACAGAGTTAATTATAATAACGAGTACGTTTCAAGGTGTAATAAATCACTGAAGAGTTCGACGTTGTAAAAGAAAAAAATGAATTACACTATTAACGTAACAAGTTTTCTCGTCGCTTACATTTTTAAATTCTTTTGATTACGTGGCTAAAAAATTTCTACAATATGTAAGTAAGACGTATTTACATTGATGTATTTGGTAAATAGTATCAACGTTTACTTTAGATACTTTACATTTGACACTTGCTCGAACAACATAAATTAATTCAATTTTTTAAATTTCGTTATGTACCTCGATTTTGTAATTCATTTTTTTTTTTTTTCAATAAAATACTTTCCACTGATTTATATATATCACCTTAACGTTCGTTTTTACTATTATGATTTGCCCATTAATAAATTTGTTGTATAAATCAGATTTATCTACGATACGCTTTCTGCAATAGCAATGAAAAAAAATAAGAAAAGCTTTCAAACAGGCAAATATTCTCATGTTAGATTCAGTCTGTAATTATTGCTTAGTTTTGAAAAATTCAATTCGTATCACTCAGTGTATCTTTCACGACTGAGCACTTCGATGCAAATAAGTGCTAGACTGCATAAGGATCATGAAACTTCTATGGAAAATGAATAAATAAAAATTCCCTTATGATTGTACGTATTGTAAATACTACAGATTTATCAATAAAAATCAATTGTATCGTCGCGAGTGTTGTCCAACAATACAATATGTTATTCTTGTGCATTTGCAGACAATTCTATAATTACTGCAATTTATTGTACATTTTATATTTTAATAGAGTTTTAATTTTGATTAATTAAGTATTCGCCTGGCAACTTGCAATTCAAATAATTTCTCTAAATTACAATTTATTTAATCTCTGTAAAACAGATTTTTATCATGTTCTTGGAATATAATTGACTCTGTTAAAAACAGAGACACGAATAAATTTTAGGTCTACAAATGGCAGTATTATTATTTCACAGAAATACTCATAATTTTTATAAAACTTCAAATACTCCGTTTGTATCCTTAATAAAATGAAAATGCATTAATAAAGAAAGCACTTTGTGTTCAATTGTATAAAAATATGTATTAATAATCCAACATTTTACAAGGAAACAGTATTCTGTCGCTTTTAGCATTTACATTTACATGATTGCGATCAATTCTGAACATGTTCGCAGAAAAAGTGATTGTTTAAACAAAAAGAAAGTATCTACTACTGGTATAAATTAAATCAATATTTAGGGTATAAATCAATTATGTATAATGTATAAATAACGTTCTTCTTTATTAGAAAAAGTTTGAGGAACATTGTATCTTTAAAGGTATATGTATATGAGCTAAGTATACGTGTAAAAATGCCTATAAATTATATTATACTGTGGAATCGCATACGAAAATCTGACCTAATTCTGTCTCTGTAAATATGTAAAATTGTATTTTTCCAAATAACAGGATAGAAATATAAGGATCGTTTAAGTAACTTTTAAAGGGTCCAGGTCATTTCCTGAACCTCCTATTCAAGTTTATTAAACATATTAAACTTTATCAGTTTTAAAAATCTTCAGAATATCGTAAGAGAACAATTAATTAATTAATTTAATTATCATAAAAATTAAACGTATTAAAGGAGGAAATGCATGACGAACGGAAAATATCTATATTAGAAGAAAATAGCAATGGAAAGTAGACAACGTAAGCAATTCCAGTTGTTCCTCTCATACAAATTAGAATCCACAATATAAATAAATCCGCTTACAAACATAAATAAACTGTTTCATACAAAATGCATGAAAATGTAACTTTTTTTTACGTATGCAACGAAGGTTCGCGGATTGGATACCATGAAGAAAGTATTTACCAAAGGCATTTGTATATTTCAGTTTATTTAATTAAAATATACAGATTTTAAACGTGATCACACATTTGTTCCGAGTTTGCCTCCTTCGACCTATTCTTAACCTGAGATAAACCACAATAAATTTTCGCTCACTATACGTTCCTGTATCTGTGATAAATTCATTTTATTCATTTTTTTTTTTCTTCTTTTTTTACGTTGACTTTCAGAAAATTCTTTGTTTTCCTTGGCGTCCTATATAACGAATATTAAATCTACAAGCGCAACCAGACGGATCCTTTCGGTCCTTTTACTACTTGTCCACTTTTTCCTAAGTATAATATAATTTTTTTCGTGTATATAAATAAACGCTAGCAAACATTCTTTTTCTTTTATTTCATCTTCTATGAGCATAACCGTCTACATTTTCTTTACATGCATGTAGACAATTCATAAATATATGTGTATCACATATGTACGTATATATATACGCTATGTATATATATATTTACATATATATTTATATATTTATATGTATATACAGTGCCACTTTTATTACATACACCAAGAAGAGACGGTTTTGTTAAAGCGAAGTTCCTTACATTGCTAACGTGATTTTCGTACGAAATGCGTAACATTGATTTGCTTTTAAAATTGCTTAAATATAAAATTCATTTTGGAGCAATTAATTCTTTGTTGCGATGATGGAAAAACTACTTTCCTTCTTGGCCCATGGATATGAATACACTTCATATATATACATATATATACATTTAAATGGTAACTATGTAGGCACGTGTTATTATTTGTATCATACTTTTTCCTACTCTTTGATATAACTCTTGTTGCTCTGCACTGTCTATGATGAAACATAAAAATATAAAAATATCAGTTAATTCATATAAACATACACTTTCTAATATATAATTCGATATTTTCGTTTGTTCGAATAATCCGTGGACACAGTAAATTCCTTTGTAATAGTATTACGTGTAAGCAGTCGAAAAATTATATATTATCATAATATTTAAATTCAAAATAAAAATGCGCAGTATATCGTTTCGTTACAAAATATTCAAGTTATAACGTACGCTAAATATTTACATTTAAAAACAAAATTGTAGTACACAAACATGAATTTACCATGTCATTTTGATCATTCGTATTATTTATAACGCATGTTTAACTAAATGTTCAATCTAAATTGTCCTGAAGTACATTTTGCACCACATAGTGCCAGCTACTTGCAAACTTTAAATTATCTTAAAGTAATACCACAAGTTCAAAAATTGTTTTCCTAAAAAAAAAAGAAAAAGTAAAAGAAAACAGTAAGTTGGAGCTCCTAACTTAACAACTTAAGCGCTGATTATGAAACATCTGCATTTTAATCACCGTTTCAGTGAACAATTACTGTACATCTATAAAACAGACAAATTTGTCATTTACTTAGCTTACTCAACCATTTTTTAAATTGTTCTAAATATAAATCCAAACTTTGTATAACATAATAGACAGTCGTTTTGTTGCTTGGTACAGAGCAGTCTGCTTTTCAAGATTTTTTAATAGTAGGAAAGAGAATCAAAGATCGACTATCACCAATTTCTTATATTGAAATATTTACTTGGACTTTGTGCTGCCTTTGTATAAAATTAAATATCAAAAATTTTCTGATTTCAAACGAATCTTCGACAGCCACCCTGTACTAAGTGACAAAGCAGATCACCGATTACGTACCTACCTACAAGATACTTTAATTTTTACCCTTACTGTAAGCAATTTATAATTCTTTTTTTTCACTTAACGACTCTTTAATCCCCTTAAAAAGATATTTCCTCATAGAAGACTGTAACATTTAAAGGAATCATTGGGAAAAAGATAATCTTTACATATACACATTCTATTCCCCTCTTTGATACAGGCATCATCATTTTCTTCTGCCTCTCTTGATTATCACACGTTTTATACATATGTTCATGAACTTTCTTAACTTCCCTTTCTATAATTAACACTTTAACAAGCTACTCGAATATTAGAAAGCATAAAATAATGGAAGGAGTCTTTTTATATTAATTCTGTAGAGCTGACTATCTAGGAAGGTGAAGTGGCAAGGGTATAGATAGAATTAAATGATAAAACTTGATCAAAATAGTAACGGGGTTTGCTAGTTGAGAAACAGGAATAGCATTTTAGTCGTGTCCCGAAGAAGCGATATAATGCTCGTTTCTTAGAATCGAGAGCCTACGATCGTGCAGCGGAGTACAAAGGTTTCATGTTTAAACAATTACACACCGTGGACAGCAGTAAAACATTGCAGCGCGTGAAAACCTAAGCTATCCCCGTAAAATTAAAGACAGCACGCACACTTTGTCCGGGATTCTATACAATTCTATTCGTTCTTAGTTTTTCCCCGAGCGAAATACACAAAATGAAAGAACAACGTTGCATCACATCGATTAGTGTCTATATTATTGCTAACCATTATTTAGATGTAAAAGTATGCAAATATGAAAAATATGATTGATTCTTTTTCACCCGTAACGTGCCGTGGAAGTCACAGAATACCGTTGTTGCATGTTTTTAAAAAACTCTGCTGCTGCCCTGCCGAATTGCTCTCATGCACGCAGTTATTCACTATTGAAAAACGGTTCGATAGGAGGTGAAAACTACATTGTAACGAAAAGCAAGAAAATTTAATTTTTTTTTTTAATGAAACAGTTGGTCCACCAAATGCAAACCCAATTTCGCAGAAACGTCTGGAAACTTTTCGGGACAATAAATATTGTCTACAGCACGTTTGCACTTATACGTTTCAAGATAAAATGCAATAGTAGAGACGAGAATATCTTAACCAGCATACCTTTCATAGAGATGGAAAGTAATATGCAGAGAATAAAAACAGTGAGGGTACAAGATAATACCCTGTAAACAAATGACATATAATTAAAGTGTGTTATTCTACCTCATTTTCCAAGTCGCTTAATGCGAGATCGCGTGCTTAGCGACCTGGCACTCGGATTGTACGGCGATTTTACTCTTTTAGCCATTCCCGAACTAGAGTTACATCCTGTACTCGTAGGACTAATCTTAGAACAGGTCCCGTTCCCAGTATTACTACTAGTTTGCTTAATACTGGACGATCTTACTCTACTCGATTGTAGAAACCCATTATTACTAGACTGCTTTAGTTTACTTGGCAACGAAAGCCGATTTTGTTTCCCCAATGCGTCGTGCACTAATTGCGTAGATATCGTGTGACCAGTTATGTCTACGTTGCGCGAACGCAGTGTTTTTACAGGAGTCGCGGCGATAGTGTCAGACCTGAAAGAACACAGAAAATTTTTACATGAACGACACAGTTCAACGAGCATTTTAAAATCATTTGAAAGTAACAAACTTTTAGATCTACTTGAGCGATCTTCCACGACGATGCAGTTACTTTCAAGCGATTATAGGGTACTCGTTTAATTTTACAGAGTGTAGAAATACTAGGCGAGTAGACGAACGAACCTGAGCCAACGTTGCGAAACGGCAGTGATATCCGAGGAACCTATGATAGACACGGTTCGATTTATCCTCCGCTCGCTGAGACTAGTAGCCCACAGTTGTTTGAACAACTCTTTGAAAGAGGGCCTTCGAATAGCCTTCACTGGCGTAGCCTTTTTCCCCAAACTTCTTTGGTAGGTATTTAACGAAGAGAGTCTTTCTTGTATAGGTACAGTAGTAGCACTTCCCGCGGAACGAGTAATGTTGGACTCTGTTGTAGGCCAACTCAAACTACCGTTCGCATCCTTCGTAGCTTGATTCGCTGGATCGTTCTCGTCGACGGGATTTGGTCGATCTTCGGACCGCGTTCTCCTTTTGACGCAAGGTTCTTGCAATATACACGCATCATCCACCGTACTAATTACACCTTGCGATATTGCACTATGTCTTCGCTTAGTACCAACAGCACTATCAGTCGTTTTACTTGTAGAGTTTCTTACGTCCTCGTCCACAGTCTTACCGGTTACAGACATTTTTGTACCGCGCAACTTAAACCTCGAATTGACGTACGTTTTTGTTTCCAACGAACCCGACTCTGCAACAGTGTTCCGTGAGTGCGAATTTAAACTGTGCCTTCTGCTCCTCGCGTTTCTGACTTCCGTTCTCGAGGCAGAGAACAGTATGTGCTGTTTATGCCGCGATCCGTTCAAAACCTTGGCTTTTACTTCGTTTTCATTACCAGCGGTGCTCTCCGAAGTAACATCATTGTTATTCTCGAAATTAGTACCAACATGGGCGGATGAATGTATATTATTACATTCGCCGGAAAATGCACTTTGGTGTATCACATTCGACGTATCAGATTGATCGGTATTCCCATCTTCCGACTTAAGAGACTGCGATGGCAATTTTACACCATCTTGATAAATTGGTGTATTAACAATTTCAGGTTTATTTTCTACCGCATCCCTCGTTTCTTGGTCGAAACTTTTATTCTTTGCCAACGGGCCTGTTTCCAACTTTTTATTACCTAATTCTACGTTTCTTTCTACTATTTCATGGGATATCGTTTCCGTAACTTTAGAGTCTTCTACCCCAAAGGACTCATCACCGCTCGTATCCATTGTTTCGTCCCTTGACTGGTGACTTATATCAAGATTTTCTGGAATTTTGTTAACGAGCGATACATTCTCCGAACTTGAATCCTCATTATTTTCATTAATTCCATTTGTAAAATCTAGCTTCTTAAAGTCGATATTAAGATCCGCCATCGGTGGTCTCGGTAAACTCGGAGTGATCGGGCTACAGTTAGGTTTCTCTATGTTTTTAGTATCGAGCGTAGTTGCGGGTGTATGTATATTATGATGCGGCAATACACATTTCTTCTGATTCAATAAAACCTTTAATGATAATGATAAAAAAAAAATAAATTTCAGCAATTACTTGGACTATACATACTTAATAATGAAAAATTCTCTAAATTAAAACTTAATAGATACCTCGCTACGAGATGGGCCTGGTGGATCTAACATTAACGTGACAACGCTTGTATTATCCGCACGTAGCCTCTTTGTCGACCATCTTTCCAACGCTCTATCTACTAAACTTTTTGATGGATTAATCCACAGTTGAACATTATCAGTTTGCTGCAGAAATAAACCGCTATATTAATCTTCGTTCCAACAATTTCTCGTCTCAACTTTTCCGTTATATACGGAAAATTTGCTGAAACATACCCCGTTACATGTTTGTTGTGAAGCAATCAAGTGTTTTTCATTATGTCTATCCGCAGCTTGAACAATGGCCACAGCAGCTTGCGGTGTTAACATGTTCCACAAACCATCGGTTCCAAAAATAAGACAACGATGTGATTCTACATCAATTGCGACTACTTTAACATCTGGTTCCGGAGAAACAACAAATGTATTTAATTCAGAATTGTAACTCCAGAGATCACCTGCAAAACACAAGTCATACGATTATATAAGTAATTAATAATTATTAATTATTATTAACTAGTTTTCTTTATTGTGTTTCAGAAAAATATACCTAAAGATCTAGCAACAGCAAGAAATGGAATTTCATCTATATGAGTCGATCTTCGAACCGGTCCCTTGTGTCCTATACGAGGTCTGTTCCACACAACTCTTGGAACACCCGATTTACTGACTACCTTGCCACCAGATTCTCGTATCCTCATCATTTCTGGTCCACTTTCTGGCTTATGGTCTTTGGTCAATGCCTTAGCTCGCCATTGGGGATCCCCGTCTACTTGATATCCCAATATTATACCAGAATCACCGACATGGCCTATATAAATCTTGCTTTTGCGAATGAACGCTATGCTAGCAGTAGTTCCAGCTGTAGATGGTAATCCGGACGCTGTTCTTGGCCATTTTTCTGTTACAAAAGTAGATTTTAGTTAAAATTCACATTCACCAAGAATAATTTCGGCAAACCACTTTCGCGAAGTTCTTAATAGCACAAACATCAAATTGATCGCAAATTAACAGTTAAAATAAAATATTTTCTTTCAACTAATTTTTCGTAGTCAAAATTTTCAGGTTATCTCGGATTACATAACCTAAATTCTAACCTAATCGAGCACAGGTGGTGGGGGAAATACGCGGGACAATGACAGAAATTCTTCAACAAATCATAAATACGTTGAATTTTCAAACGGATACGTTCGAATGGCGTTCAAAGTTCAAAGAAACCGCGGAAAACTGCAAAACAACGGAACAGGAAGTGCCGAACGAGTCTCTTACCAAGCTCCCGCCACATCGCGTAGTGTGTGTTCATGTATCCTTCTCGGATAGCCCGAAGCACGTCCTCGTCTCGATCACTCCAGAAATTCTTTTGCTTTACAATAACGTTCATCAGGTGCTCTTTAGCGAAGGTGGCGGCTTCGCCACCGCCGTGACCGTCGAATATTCCAAAGAATGCAAATTCAAGATCTTTGTCATCCGGTGTCGATTGAAAGGCCACGCTGAACATGTCCTCCATGTACTTACGACCGCCCTGATTACAGTGTCCGGTCACTCTTAAGTTAACCCCAATACTCAACGGCATGATGGACACGCCGGTGACACGGGACGCCAAACAGGACAAGACTTTCTTCCTTTACTACGCACTCGTCCGACCGTACACGGGAACGGAAGCCTCGTATTTACTGGGCAGGTCCGCCGCGCGTAGCTCAAGGGACGCACACACACTCCAACGATCATGGCCCCACACAGCACAATGACGTTGCCTGCAACGGAGTAGGGCAAGAGGGGTCGTCCCCTCTACGATTTCACCGTCCACCAGCGCGCCGCGCCGCGCTCGACGTCGTTTCTCGAGAATCTACAAACGGAAGATTTTCGAGCGGCATAAGGCCTCTTTCACACTACGGCTTTTTCATCGCGCGTCGCAAGGGTTCGTTAAAAAATCGGTCCGCTGAAATCGCCAGACAAATGCCCAAGAATTTGTTCGCATTACAGACGGTATCCGTTCGAAAATCAACGGCCCGTTATCGGCGCGCTATCCAATCGACTTCTATAACGTTCGTTATCGGAATCGTCGGAATTAAACTCTGGGGATAGGTTTAGGCTCATAGCAACTGGGTTCGAAAGACCAATGGAGGACTTGTTCCGACGTGCTCAGATGATTCATCGAATAGGACAGTTTAGTTAGCCGCGGGATATCGACGAGTAAGTTCATTACGGTTTCAAGATTTTAGATTTATATGGATTCGACGATCATAGTGAGGTGGATATTATTTATTAGCACGACGAATGGCAACTGATATTATAGGATAAAATGTCGCAGGTAACATCATTGTTACCGGCTTCATCATATGGTTCCATCGAATTTTGTACAATGTTGTAATCTCCAATGAATAAATAACATAAACAACTGTAATAGGGTAACATTGTAGATTTTATTTAAATCGATTTGATAATTATTGTGAATGTTATTTATAAATGTTATAAATTAGTTAAATGACACGACAGAAGAAAACATTAATCGCGTAACGTTCACTTGTTTCTAGATTGTACTTTTTTATTCCTGGTAATTTTTATGCTATGTTTAAGTATATTCGAATGGGAGAATCAGGTGATTAAAACTATTTAAAAGGAAGGTAATATAGGATTTTTAATTTTAGATACATATTAAAATTGTCTTGTAAATGTTTATACAGGGTGTTCGGCCAATCCTGGGAAAAATTATAATGGGAGATTCTAGAGGTCAAAATAAGACGAAAATCAAGAATATCAATTTCTTGACTGAGGCTTCGTTAAAAAGTTATTAACAATTAAATTAAAAAATTTCAAATCGTTCTGGAAAAATTATTTTCAGTTGCGGGGGTCAATTGCAATCATATTTGGTGAATACACAAACCTCCGAAATCCTACCCACTTTCGAGAAAAAAATTCGAGTAGGTGCTGAAATTTTTCGGCGAAAAAAAAATTTTTCAAATTGTTCTAAAAAAATTATTTTCGGTTTCGAGGGTCAATTACAATCATTTTTGGTGAATATACATACCCTCGAAATCTTGCGCATTTTTGAGAAAAAAATTCAGCACGGGCGGAACTTTAAACGTTAATAACTTTTTAACGAAGCCTCCATCAACAAATTAGTATTCTTGATTTTCGTCTTATTTTGGCCTTTCGAATCTCCCATTAGAATTTTTCCCAGTGGTGGCCGAACACCCTGTATATGTATATGCTGCGACTATACAACAAGTAAAGAGCTGAAAAACGTATCCGTGACGTAAACACGACCAATTCGCTGAAATGAAAGCTTAAACTATGTTCTTTCGCCGAATCGGTGTGTACACTCCAAGGTCTGCGCATTGCCCGACCATTAAAAGGAAACTTCAGTGTGATAGGTGCTTAACGCGCTTTTCCTCATCCTTTTCCAACCCTTAAACGCTTTTACGACTCAAGCGCAGGCTACCAAAATCAAATATCCATGCGAATTTCATAAAATGGATGCATTCTCATCAGCGGTTGTATCGTATTCGAAATTTTCGACCTAAATTTGAACAAATCCGAGCGACAATCTGTGGATAAAGTATTATTTACGCACTTAATAGTCGACTAAATGTTTTCGGTCGTACGCGTATCTTCAAGGCAACTATTTTCGTTAGTTCTATTTTCATGAAGCATATCTTAAACCGGGACATACAGCGATCGTGGCGTATTCGATAATCACAGTTCGATTTGCCGCGCTTCGAGCTCAACTGGGAAGTTAGATGCGGTCATGAAATTTTCAAAAACTCTCCGTAAACAGCAATACGGTAACATTACCTCGGTTATATTACGCTCACGAACGACCTCCACACGGGGAGCGTATCGCTTTCCCCTTCCGTTCCGACCGACCCTCGCCAATCCCTACCACCATGGAAACTTTTACCTCGTCCTCTACCCCGTTGAATCCCTGACAACAGGCAGCCCATCAACGTCGGTGCTATTCATGCCGCGCATCTCGACTCACGCAGTTGCTGCGTTGCCACGTCTTCTCCTTTCGGCCTGAACTTTCTTGTCCAGCTGCGAACTCGATCTCGCCTTCGGGAAATTCTTTTCCAAATGGCAAGTCCTAAGGAATGATTCGATGAAAATGGACCGCACGCAATTCGCTAAATTATCCTCCCGTTATGTCGTTTAACAAGAAGATGATACGTAACAAGATCCGTTAACGCGTACAATATTTATTGATGCGTGTGATATTTTGGCCGTTCTCAGATTTAAGTTTCCCTCTTCGTTTGAATATTCGCACGTTTTAATGTTCGAAACGTATGACATACGTACACCAAATATGGTCAAAGGATACATTAGACGAATGTTTGACTAACGTTTAATGTCGGTTTCGTTCGCGCGTTCGTTCGAAGAGGCACGCGTAATACGTTGCGGCGTTCGAAGTGGAAAGCAAACATTCTGTTTTGTTAGGCGATGTAGTTATCTCTTACCAAGAGCAAAACACAGGGCACGTGTTTGAACTTGTTCGGCTGGTGATCTGACAACGTCGCGCTTCTCGTTCAAAATAGCACTCCCAGCTGGCGGCTTTCGCTTAACATCCGATAGGTTGCAATACGACGGGGATCGTTTCGATTCGCTGCAAAAGTAAAAACGATTAGATCGACATTTTATTTTTTGTGTAAATTTATAACGAAAGCCAAGAGCAAAGAGTTTTCACGACTTAGAGAGCATCGAAGATACGGTCGATATGTGTCATCGATTACATCATCTCTCTAAAAAGATGGCTGTCCCTTTCCGCTCGAAACAGTTATGCGGCACTACGTTAGTCAGCCATCGAACTGTTTCTTTGGCACGTTATTAATGTCGATTGTACAAATAGATTTAAGAGATTCTAGAAAAAGGATCAACGAAACAACTTTGCGATCGTGTGTCGATTATCGATTGAAAAACAAAAGTCATGAAATTGGTCACATCAAGTTTAAACGAGTTTCGAATTGAACGGAACCGTGAGTATACTGCCATCTATTGACGGTTCGTAAAATTATAGAAAAGTGGAAAAATTAAGAGGCGCATAAAAATGATTTTCAAAGTCTATAACCGGTAATTGAAATATATATTTAATCTACTGAAATCTGATCGAATTTTATATTATATAAAATATATAACAAATGTAATTGAATGGTAGACTATCTTTTCGATAATTAATACTCAATTTTATAAAACTTAATTGCGGACACGTTAACATTTTAACAAATAATTTAAAAATTTAATACGGTAAGTTTGAACGCCTTGCGTGAAATTTTACGACTTATCTTTTCGTAGAATAGCAGACACGATTATTTTAAAGCCGAATTCCTGTGCGTCTGGTTGAATCATGCGGTATGATCCTCTCCTCTCGAGAGTCTCGAGTTGAGACAAGTCCGTGCAGGTTCAGTCCTGTCTGAGCAGGCGTACCTAACGCATCTTGAAAGCAGGAGCGTGTTACTAAGTTAAATACATACGCCAATTGTGCTACAGATTCGATCGATGACGTCCTGTTTAAAATATGTTACGGTACTTCTATATATTGCTTATAAACTGCAAAAGCGACGGGACTTAAAATATTCGATTTTTCAGTTACGACCAAAAAACAATAGGATATAGACATCTCTACTCGTAAAAATTTCATAAATTGAAGTTCAAAATTAGTCCGCTAAATGGCACTTACGTCGCTTTCATTTTTAAACAAAGAACATAAGAATAATACATTTCGAATTATCAACGAATTTATAAAATAACATTTGTTAAACGTTTTCAAGAGTCCATTCCCTTTTCTGATATTATGAGTTTAGTAAATAATTTGTTCATAAGTTCACTAATAGTTTTTAGCTTCTGGAAAATGTACTTTTTTTAGTTGTGTCGTTTTCATAGCCCATGTGTAAAAGTATTGGAACTTTATTTTTTACACGATATGAAAATGTACAATTTATGTATTAATAATAGTATTCGATGATAGCCTGAATAATTAAGATCACGTTAATTATTTATACAAACGTAGTGTGAAACGAATAACTATATTTTTTAAGGACTTCCCAGCTTTTGGGAAGAGAGCGATTGCTTCTCATTCCAGTATGAGTCGATAACATTGGAAGGAACGCAAAAATGGTAAAATCAATAAAGATTTATTAATTTCCTAATTATCAAGATCGATAAATATTTAGGAAAGAATTCAAATTTAGTGAATACCGATTTTAAAAATTTATGTCGAATTTGGTTGATGTAACGATATGAATTTTTGTATTAATTAGATGAAAATCCGTATTTTAATTTTAATAAAAATATGTGTAATTATTGTTTGTAGATTTAGTGTTAAAATTATCGAACGTAACGATTGTGATAGAAAATGAGCTAGAAAGAGGGAATCAGAATGCCAACTCTATTGAGTCTCCTCATCTGTTTGCTTTATCGATGACGGTGATTGGATCGTATATAATTCCCATAGTCATCGTTCCATAACGTTAAGTTCTATTAGAAATCTAGCAAGATCAGTAATTTCAGTTCGCGTAATGTTCCTGTTGTGTGTTTAATCTCTCCTGTACCTTGCTGCAGCGAGATCATATTATTTATCTACGGCTGAGATCACGGATAAAGATACTTCGTCTGTTCCTAAATATCCTACATTTATTCGAGTTTTTAAACTTAAACTAAAATGATTTGCATCGGTTTTCTTAAAATTTGGTATTTTCAAACACTACGTTCAGCGACAAGTAAATTAGAAAAATAGAATGAACATAGTATGATTTACTTTTCGAAAATATTGTTAAGCTATTGTGTAACCACGTATTTATATTACCAGTACCTATACGAAATTAATTTTAAGCGTTTAAAAATTATTTTAAGAAACGATCTAGTTAACTAGAAATTTTTTTTTTTCGTAATTTCTAGTGTTACGTTCTTCAACGTAAGGTGCCGGGCTTTATTATCGATCAGAGGAAGGGAACCTTACTTCGTTCTATTGGATTGTTTATAACTTCGTTGTTCTGGACTTGATGAAATTGATATTTACATGACAATTTCACGGAACAGGCATTCGTATCTTTACAAAAAGTCACAGCTTTGCTCACGAGTATTGATTTGATGTTATTGTAAAGGATTGACAAGTTTTTGTTGCAAATATGGTATTAACGAAGGAATACCGCATATGTATGCCGCTTACCACGGAAGAGGTAACTTATTTCTGATACGATAATTCGCTTCTACAGATTAAAGTATATGTGTTGGACGTTATTATATTCTGTAACGAATATTATTTCATTGATTCTCACAAGCTTTAATTTAGAAAAGTGCTATTCTTAGAAAGTATCTGTATGTTCGTTTGCGTTCTTGTTTGTTGTTTTTATGAATTAAGGGACGTTAATCGTCGTTAATTCTTTTATAGTATCGTATAGGACAGCTATATATGATTGCAAGACATAGTCATGAACAATCTGATAACGAAGGAGGAGTCGAAGTAGTTCAAAATGTAGAGTGGGAGCATCCCGAGTATGGGAAGGGCCAATATACTGAAAAAAGAATTCATTTGTCTACGTAATTATCAGTGCATTTCTTATAACTTCAAGGTTCGATGAAGATAAATTTTAGTTTTCAACTTCTTTTCATCATATTGCAGTAAATTACCATATTGGATTCAGTCTATTGTTCCAAGAATTTTTTATATAATAGAGAAGGCGTGGAATTACTATCCTTTTACCATTACAGGTATCACTTTACATCCACAAATGTTACATAATACGATTTAAATTATAGATGTTGTATTTAGCTGAAAATAGCATTTAATCCATTTAATAGATATAATTATTACAAACATTGTGTATCAGTTTAATAATCTGTTGTTGTTTTTACATGTTATTAATGGTCACTGAAGAATACACAGTAAGTATCAATATGTAGGTTCAGTATCAAATTTCTCGTTATATAAAATCATATATTTCAGTGTTCGTTCCTTCCTAAATTTCAAATATCAATTAAAACGAGATTCGAGGATAGCAATGGTTCCTCCGAGAACGTATGTAAAGGAATTTATTGTTTACAGTATTAAAAAATATTATTACACCATTACATTGTATGTGTTTACAATAGGTTCTAGGTCTCTCTCCTATCGAAGTGTTACAACGCGAGGTTGATGATATAGATATCGCATATGATGAAATTTCAGCAAAACACTATAAAGAGGAAGAGGTATCGTTAGATTTAGTATTATCTCATTTCACTCTTTCTTTCTAATTTATAGCAAAAACGATAAAATAATTCTTCAAGTGATAAGCAAGCAGTTTATATTTTATAATTTTAGGAAAGAGGTAATTACTTGTTCATTACTTGAAGAATTATTTTAATATTCTTTTCACAAACAAAAATTAACATTGAAATATTTACTGTACAAACTGCTTGCAATGGTAACATTCGCGTTTGTTCGTGTATGAATTAGTATATATAGTAGGTTCTAAAATACAGGATCCGAAGTTTTTTCAATCTAAATTAACCGGTCGTGGTCCGTTGATAGAAGGATGGAGGGAAACAGCACAGCCAATAATGTGTTCGTATAAATTAGTTCACGCCTCTTTCGAGGTCTGGGGCATGCAAACTCGAGTAGAAGACTTTATTCATAGGGTAATAATTTTTACGAGGAATTGATTTAACGTACGAAGCGTATGATTACAATGATCAAATGTTGTTTCTTACGATTGTAGTGTATAAGGGATATTTTATTACTGGCTCATCGACAAGCATTTGCGTGGATCGATGAGTGGTATAACATGACATTGGAAGATGTTAGGGAATACGAACAAAAGATGCAAGCTGAGACTAACGAAAAAGTACGAATCATGGATAAGACCGATGAAAAGCCATTGACTCCTATTTCGTCGGCTGCGTCTGTACCATCTTCGCCGGTGGCCAAGTCTGCTGCCTGGTCATGGTTTTCTTGGTCGTAGCTGTAATTCTAGAAAAATGAGATTAGGAATATTGCTAGCTTGTTTAGAGAACGTTATTAAAAATGTGCAATTTATCGTCGTCGATATTTCCGATTGTGTGTGTGTATATATATGCGTGTATCCACATTATAGTCTGGTAACTGTAATGATTTTCCGGGAGTTTCTGATTTTACAGCTCCCAGTCTTAATTTAGAGAGAGAGAGACGTAGTATGCTCTAAATCTACTTTACGAATAATTTATTTTACAAGGTCATCAAGAAGCAAAATGTCGATAATTTTCAGTATTTTTTATAGTTTCATCAATCTGCGTTGTTAGTATGCGTAAGTACTAGCCGAAAGTAATATACAGGATGTTCGGCCAACCCTGGGAAAAATTTTAATGGGGGATTCTAGAGGCCAAAATAAGACGAAAATCAAGAATACCAATTTGTTGATGAAGGCTTCGTTAAAAAGTTATTAACTTTTAAAGTTCCGCCCGTACTGAATTTTTTTCTCGAAAATGCGCGAGATTTCGGGTGTATGATTATTCGCCAAAAGTGATTGTAATTGACCCCCGCAACCGAAAATAATTTTTCCCGAACGATTTGAAATTTTTGAATTTAATTGTTAATAACTTTTTAACGAAGCCTCCATCAACAAATTGGTATTCTTGATTTTCGTCTTATTTTGGCCTCTAGAATTCCCCATTAAAATTTTTCCCAGGGGTGACCGAACACTCTGTATAAAAAAAAAATGCTCTGATGTCTTGTGGGTGTTTTCTTAGTTCTCGGTAACTGTTATTCCTCTAATCGCTGTAGTAAGGTATCAATTATGTTTTTAGTACAATAATTATACAGAAACTCAGTTATCTAATGTAGTTTTCAAATAATGGTGAATGTTAACGTTAGCAAAAATTCGAGTTAGTTACAGGAGTCATTGTACAGCATTTAAAGACGCTTATCGATACTATACTTGCTGACTGAAACAGGCTTTATATACTATAAAATACTGTAAGAACAAGTAATGGCAGCGTAAGAACTGTTTAAGTATTGTAATGATCTACTGTGGCTGCACAAAGATATTATTACATGATATTATATGGTTTCTTTAACAAACTGAAGTTTCACGGCACTAATTAATCGTAGTATTATTTTGATTTGATATCGAAGCTTCTATTAATAATTAATGGTATTCGTTTTTTCAACTGTCAACCTGATTGTATGTACAGAATTAATTTAAAATAAGGTACATCAATTTTATTTTCTACGTTCGATTATTCTTTGATAAGATTAAAGCCTTAAACTGAATCGAAGGTACCAAGTTTTAATTCGACGTGAATGTCTCGTTTTCTTTTTCGTTCGTGTCAAATTATTGGACACATATACGAAACATGTTATTTCGTTCTAAAAGTTTCACGGGACCAAATATGTTGAAAAGACAACAAAGATGCACAAGAATATCGCACACCGCGTGCTTATAACTTTATAACAGTTGCGATTAATGCGTATTGTGCCATAGCAAGGCCTTCCGACGTAATTGTTCAAATTGCAATTATACTTTCATCGTAGATGGCATATTTAATACTGTGTTCCTTTTAAAAACCCTCGATAAGAAGTATTTAATTGCCTCTTTAATGTCTATCTATGTATTTAAATAAACGTTACAGGCCGTTCTTATCGAAGATGCGAGGTTCAATTATCTACTCTACAAACTTTCAGATAACACTTCTCCTATCTTTTCTGCTTAAATTCCACTCCGTATCGTTTTTGGTTTTTAACGCAATACATCGTTTTTATAAGAACACTTGTTGTTTGGAAATCGAGTTTAATAGAGCAGTTTTGTTGTCATTTTTTTTTTACAGGATTAGATTTGAATATTGCAAAACAAAATTAGTAGTAATTAGCGTTATCGGTACAATTTCAATTGCGTGTGACGTTAATTTCGCCAAGAAATATTAATCAAAAGGTCGGTAGGACTTAGAAAGTTGCTGGAGTCGAATATTTTCAATAAGATAATTACCCGGGGTCTGGTCATCGTTGTTTCTCGTGATAACGAAGTAGGGCCAAACTTTTAATTGTCTTTGGAATCGTTATGAAATTAATAAAAGTATGTTTCGAGTCGCTCGACCCAATTATACAACTCCTTGACTGTCCATTAAATTGATTGCCTGCTGAATTCGAAATTGTGAACTCCAAATTGAAAGGGATCGGGACGAATGTCTAACGAAACTACGACTTTATTTTTGACCGTGTTTGTTTAACGAGATTTTAGCAATATTTTAATCGTATAGATAGTTGGAGGAATATTGTTGCATTTATATTTGTAATATTGCAATAATGTAGCTACTTGGATTATAAGAATTGGTAAACATTTATTTTGATATTTGACAAAATGAGTCCCTGGAGCTTCAGTCTTCTAGTCTCCTTAGTCCATACCTGCCATTATTTGCAATATTTTTTGATTTACAAAGCACTTTTTCGAATACGATTTCTAGATGTAAAAGTACTATGCTGTCGTTAGTTACGCTGGTATTCGCCTAACACTAATAACATATCAACGTTCTGGTTGAAGTTTGCGATTTCTCGTTAAACTTTGCTGAAACTCATCTCTCGAAAAGACGAAACATCATTTCGCGAGAAAATATGAACCAACTTGAAGTTGTACGATATTAAGAAATCATTTTTCTATTACGAAGCAAATAGCTCGAGAATGATGTTGGTGAACAGAACTTACATAGAATCTAAATACAATGTAGTATTACACTAAAAATATCATACGTTAGCATATAATAAAGTAATGGTTACATTAAAATGCTGTTTTTCTTTTAATATATATACATATATTTATATCATTGCATCAATCAAATGTTACAGGTAGTGAGGAATATTGCAAACGGCGGATGCAGAAATGTTGCTGTTAATGTTTTAAATATACAGGGTGTCTCAGCATCGGTGGTACAACCGGAAAGGAGGTGATTCTACATGAAAAAACAAATTGAAAATAAAGAATAAAATTATTTCATTTGAGGTTCCGTTGTCCAGAAAATCAACTGTGAAATTCATAACTATGGCTTAGATAAATAGATTTCGATACAGGCTTTTATTATGTTTTCTGTACTTCAGTACACTCATGTTGACATGATTTCCTGAGAACGTATCATAATTTTATTTGTTGTCTTAGTATGTTATTATCTTCAATTTTGACTAATCATGTTCCCCATATTTAATGCTCCTTGATGTATATCTATGGGGTTATGTCAAAACAAATGAGTATAAGAAGAATACTTTATGCACTCTTCAATTAAAAGCGAGAATCATTTGGCATTTGAAAAATTAAAGATACAGAATACATTAGAATCCATTAGTTTATACAAATCTAATTTAGAGAGTTGTATATGTAGCAGAATGGGCAATTTTTAACAACTTTTGAATGAATTAAGTTAGTTTAATAACTAAATTACATACCTTATTTTCATTTAAATCTACTTTAAATCCATAAACAGAGGTAATACATTATGTTGATACTAATGATATTAGTGTTATTTGTATCGAGATCAATTCACAACTGATTTTCTCGACAACGAAATCTTAAATGAAAAAATTTTATTGTTTATTTTCGATTTGTTTTTTCATCTAGAATCACCCCCTTTTCGCTTGTACCGCTGATGTTGGGACACTCTGTATTAGAAACGGAGGTCGCAGAAATCTTGCTGCAAAGGTTTAGAGATATCGCAAACGGAGAAGGTGAAAATGTTGTAATTTTTTAGAGATATTTCATCGAGTATCCCCATATTACGAGACAATATTCCGGACATGTTTCAGCAATATTATGTGCCGTATAGACGATGTTACGTCAATAGCTGTTGCGTAGTTTGTATTATGCACGAGTCTCGCATTCATCTGTATACATTGCCGGTAAAAAGTTATGGATCAGGTATATGTAAAATAGGGACACTTATTCTGGGATATAAGAATATCTAAATCCTCGATGATTTTATTATTTTTCATATATCACAGAACATTATACATGTACGGTGTATTGCAATTTTCCAGTTGCCCTTGTAATATTACTAATACCCATAAGTATTTATTAGGACATTTAGTCGAAACGTTTTCAATGTTTGGAATATTGTAGTATCGTGAAAAAAAGTAAATATCGCCTAAAAATGTAACAGTTTTATTTATATCGATAGGAGGGCAACTGTAGTAGGCGAAAATGATCACGATTTTATTTAACTCCGGTTTACCGTGCATTTATCCAGGAGGATTTAATTTTAGGTTTTCGCAAATAAAATAGAGGCAGCCTGGGGGATATATTTAGCAAAACAGAGCTTGAAAGAACTGGGACAACGGGTGGGTGGATTTAGCGAAGGATTTTCTTCCTTCGAACGTTACGCAATGCGACGCTCGAGAGGGCGAAGGCACAGTCACGCGGTAAGAAGGCTTGTATTCGGTTTTCGTAGGTAAGAAAGAATTGTTCCTCTTGTCACGTGGCACGTGCGTGTGGATCACGTGTCTGAAAGGGCCGCGTGATCCACGCATCGACTTACGTAAACGTTCCTCCTAACAACGAGCCATTGTATTTGGGAATCAATGGAATCTCACTAGATCGACGCCGGACCGTCCTATTATTTGAATTAATTAACAGCCCCGGGGATGTTTCGTAATCCACGATCCGTTTAATTAATGCACTCCCAGGCCGCTGTCTATTTTTTCCACCCCCTATCCTTGCATTTGCGTAATCAGGATTACGGGGATGAATTACTCGTAAAAACAGTCCAAAGTTGAGGAGATTAGGGGCATGTAAAACTGCAATTTGCATGTTGGACGTTCGTTTCGTAGACGAACGCGATTTGTACCGAGGGAGCATTCGTTGTAGCAAACTCATAAACACTACGAAATTAGAACTGGATAAATTTTAGCTATAAAGGACGCTGTCATTACCCTAATTATAATTATTGTATAACACACGCGTCGAATTTGAAAATTGTTCCGTAGCGTCTGACCATACACAAGTGTTTCTACTTGCACCTACAGACGCGCCGGTATTTATGTTGACGCTGTTATATTTCTGGTATTGAGGATATTGTTCCATAATTTAAACACTTGTACGCGTCCATCCGTACATTCTGACATTGTTTACATTATGTACAAGAAATGCCTCAGTATACCAGTGAGCATCAAAGCGAAAACACCGCGTGCAATCAAATAACAGTCAATCTGTAAAAGTATTCCCTAAATTTGGTCCGTCGGAAAGTAAGTTGACGTAAACAAGTTTTTGTTTTATTAATAAAATTTCGTTATTAAACGCGCATTTAGTAACTTGATAATGTATTTAGTCTCTTATATAATGTGTTTTTTGTTATGTATTGTTATTGTTACGAATTGGTTACTTGTAGCATGCCGAAAATACAGGAATTACACGAGTCTGAAAGGTTAATAGTTTATAAAAAAAGAAGATAAAGCCAAAATTTGCAACAGACTGCCACAGATTTTAGGATATCAAAGGAAGGGGTGCGAAAAATTTATAAAAAGATAGAGACTACTGGGAAACCTGATATTCAGTTAGAACGGGAAGAAAAAGAAAAACAACTCCCCGTCAGGATCGAGAAATTGTTAAAATAACAAAAAAAAAGAACCATTTATTACTGCCAAACAGCTCAAAGAAGATTTAAATCTGTCAATAGGGACCACTCAAATAAAATCCTATTTATACGAAGCTGGGTTGCATGATCGAATATCTAGGAAGAAGCCACACATTTCCGAAACAAATGCTCGCAAACGTTTAAATTTTGCAAAAAAGCATTTTAATAAACCGACTGCAATCTAGGAATTCATAATTTGGAGTTATGAGTCAAAGTTTGAATTACAATCAAACAAACAAAGGAAATATGTGTGGAGAAAAGAAGGAGAAACTTTTAAACAAAATGTTATCACCTCCACCGTGAAACACGGATGTAAAGATCGTTAAAATATTTATCGACGAAAACAATATATCGCTGCTTTCTTAGCCACCGCAGTGTTTCAATTTCAATCCGTTTGAGCACTTATGGGACGAACTCGATCAAAAAATACCAAAATCGGGCCGCTATACAAAACCAAAATTGATAGCCGCACTAAAAAAGGCATGGGATGAAATATAGCCCAAAACGTTAAAAAAATTAATGCACAGTATGTCAAATAATTAAAGCCAAAGGGTATCAAACTGCTTATTTAATATTTTTTTTATTGTTATTTATAGAATTATAATTTACTTTATAAACATTGTCAACTTACTTTCCGATGGACGTTAATTAGAAAATATTTGTTAATGCTATTGTTACTCAAATGAACATAATTATTAAGATGACATTATCTACTTAAGACCCGAATAAATTTATTTTTGTTAACATTTCGTATTTTATTTATTTTTATTGTATTCTTTTGCGGCTATTTTATAAAAATGATAAGTGTCAACTTAAATACCGACGTGACTGTATGTCCAAGTCGTATTCTACCGTTTTTAAAGTCGATTTTACAGAGTCGTCCATTTACAGAGATTGTATTCGATTCGTCATATTGACCCAGTTCCGTTTGCGAATGGAGATATTAATCTGAATCAGAGTGGTAATTTCGAGTGTTTTACTTTCGCGAGAACAAAGCACTTGAAATGCAGCCACGGGGTGCGAGTGTAAACATCGGGACGTTAATGTAGCAGCAGAACGATAATATTGCAAATTTGATAAAATCCGTAACGAAAGAAAGACTGTGAAAATAATAGAATTAACGATTCGCGAAATGTTCAAGGAAGATAAATTAATTTTTAAGTTCTACAGACGGAACTTTAAACGTTAATAACTTTTTAACGAAGCCTCGATCAACAAATTGCTATTTTTGATTTGTAAAAAATGAAAGAATCTAATGACCCCAGGCTATTTTAGTCAATATTATTATAGAACTTTATGCCGTAACGTTGATTTTAATCCAGAGCGCTGTGGGTTCCCATCCTCTGTTCCTATTTTGGGAGAACTACGCCTCCTTGTCAAAATTAAACGGGCAATAAAGGATTGTTCGTTACACGTGTCAATTCTCGGAACCCTGATTGTTGTTATCGGTTCGCATGGACGATGATCGACAGAGGCGCGAGCAACCCTTGGAAGGCGATGGAAGGGGAAGGGATCTACTCCTTGCGCGACTACACGCGATCCCCACCAGTCTGGATCAGTTGCCGCGCGCACCTTGATACGGTCGCGTCGTTCCTCTTGGGCAAGGGGGTGCTCGAACTCCGTCGATCCGTGATCATCAATTACTCGACGCGGGACCAAGTACCAAGTATCCGGATGAAAGAAATCAGGAATTGTTTTCACCGACGAGATCCGGTGAGTCTTTACCAGTACCTTTCAACTTTCTATATTTACAATTAAATTAAACTCTTCTTCGCTTCGTTTCGTTGAATACGTTTCCCCATTTTAGCTGCGTCTTATTCTGTTCCTTTCTCGAGAGATCTAAAAGGATTGTTTGGGTCTTCTTCAGAAATCAGACAACTCGAACTTTCGTTTACTTTCGTCCCTTTTTTTTTAGGAAGGAGGGAAGATTTTAAAGGGTTATTTTCTAGTCTCATCCCTCAAGGTTGTCGATCACTTAATCCAGAACCAACAATTCGTGTCAATTTTTATGTGAATGATGTTCATAGAGAAAGGTCATTAATCCTATTAATTCAGTGGTCAGTCTATTTTCTCGTGTTTAAGAGACTAAATTTAAACAAAATTGCAATATTCATCTCAAATTTTACTTAGCCAATTAACATATGAGCATAATATTTTCAGTAAAACGTTTGTGTTCGTATAAAAACAATCTACATTCAAACTGCAAGTAGTTTTAATAATTTTCAATCAGTTCGCTTCAATCTGTATTTACAAGATTATGAATCGTCGACTCGGTTCTCGTACGGTACACAGATTTATTAAAGAGACTATAAACAACGTTGGGGGAACATATATTTTTTGTCGGTTTTAATACCATTAAGAGTGCAGGCATCCATTAAACAAGTTTCGAGTCATCAATGCGTGAATCGTTGCCGATCGATTTTTTCGCGTGCAATTGTTCCTTTTTGACAAAAAAACGTTCCAGTCTCGACAGCTACAGAGTGTAATTAATGTTTTGCGAATCAGATTACGCGTTTGTTCTCTGAACTCGATGGTTGACGAGCGATTTCAGCGATTTCTTGAGTCGGTCTGGCCATCGCAGAGTCGCGCTACTCGCTTTTGTCCGAGTTGTCGGCGCAAATATTTACCTGGACTACTGGGTCACTCAATTTAACCCTTTGCGCTCCACTGGCGCTACTATGGCGACACACATACGTATCCAAACTTAATTCGAGCATCATTTGTAATAACGCAAATTAAATTTATGAATAAAATTTGAATCACAGGCATTTATAGACACATTTTAATTTTTAAAGTCGCAGTTTAATAATTATTTTCAGATTGCAAACGGTTAAGGGAGAAAGTCTAATATTGTTTTGAATAAAAATAAATATACGATCCGGCATAAATCAAAGTATAAAATGTCGAGATACTTAATACGTCCGATCGATGTTACATTGCACGATTGTCCTGTAATTCGAGGAAGTAATTCGACGATGCTTTCACGAAGAGAATAAAAAAAAAGTTATCTCGTTGCTAGAGGAGGAATTGTTTGTGGTTTATTGGAAGACTATCCTATTCTACGTTGGAAACAAATCGTTCTGACGTGGGAAGACAACTCGAACGTAAATTATTATCATTTGAAGTACCAATATTTTCCAGAACCGATATCTCCTGTACGAAAAAGAAATAGTCAACGTAACGTCGATTACTAAAAAAAGCATCGCGATTTTATTTTTGTAATCCCAATTATCTCGCGTTGAAAACTAATATTAATTTCACGGTTATCGACGAGGGATTAAAAACGAGCTCGTCGGTTCCGACTGTTTCGTTATTCTCGTTTCGAACTAATTAAAAATTTCTTTACTGGCGCGTTATCGTAGGTGAAATTGTGGTTGCCAGTATTATCGAATTATGGTCCCGAAAATGTTTCGTGCGTGTTTATAAAATTTTTTTCTGTTCGTTTTACTCGGCTTCCAGATTCCTCCCGTCACGCGTAGGAATGCGATTAAATTAATTGCTGGTTTTGTCGATGCAATTCCCGATTCCTGTTATCGTTTAAGCGGAGATAAGAACATCGCGGTTTCCTCGAGGCGTGAACTAATCGCGTTGATTAAACTTCATCGCGTTGTACTTCTTGGATGTAGCTTCCCCTTGGTCGAAACTTGGACATTTAACCATTCCGTAGCTATTGTCGCGGTTTTGGGTCGCACGGTCGTCGTTTTAAAGCAACGATTAGTCGCCCTTGCACGAATTCGTGAGCCACAGTGTCTTCGAATATTGGATTATACTATTCACTCCACCAAGAAACGCAAATGGAATCGATTTCTAGACTCACTAGTCTGTAACTCTGTGACTACAGCGAGGTCAAAAGGGTTAAGAATCACTGTTCTGGCCGATAATTTCGCCGAATTCGCGAGGGATTTCGATCGTCGGGGCTGCGTTCATCCAGGTCAAGGCTCCGAACGCGAACGTGCATTCGTAACATAGGCCCTCGTCAACAATACACGCGGGATAGTGCGCTAATTAGCCCAACAGATATTTAGGAAAGACAAAACGTACAGCGTGTTTCAGCGACTTCGCTGCCTCGTCCTTAAAAACTTGTATCGTTCTAGGTTCATCGTGGACAGAGATTCGAAATTTGAAGCCACGATTCGATAACCCCAGGTGATGACGATTTACCTCCAATATTTTTTAAATCTTGTCATTTCATTATGTCTCGTATCCTCTGGATTCTCTTTAATTTATCTTTATCAACTGGGACCATCCCCACCAGATGGAAATCAAATCTTGTTTGTCCGATCTATAAATCTGGTGATAAAGCCAACATTATCAATTACCGGCCTATCTCCATTCAAAATGTAATGCCAAAAATATTAGATGCCATAATAGCAGGTAAACTTTCGTCACTGACTTTCGACATCATTATAAACGAACAACATGGTTTTGTCACCAAAAGATCTCCTCTTACTAATCTTACAATTTATACTAATTATGTTGCCAATAGTCTTGATGGAGGTGGTCAAGTGGATGTTATATATACGGATATTTGTAAGGCTTTTGACACCGCCAGTTACAATATTTTAATAAACAAATTATCTTCCCTAGGTATTAACGGGATTATGCTCGTTTGGTGAGATATAAGGGTGTAATCTCTAAAGAAATCGTTGTCTCGTCCGGCGTTCCTCAGGCGTCTCATTTGGGTCCTTTATTATTCATCTTATTTATTAACGATATTACCGTGGTTTTCAACCATTCTCGCTTTCTACTATTTACGGATGACGTTAAAATGTTTCTTAATATTAAATCTTCTGATGATACAATCAAACTGCAGTAAGACGTTACAAATCTCAGCAACTGGTGCGAGACCAATTATTTGAGTTTAAATATACAGAAATGTAAATTTCTGCGTTTTCATCGTAAGAATACCCCTTGTATGGTACTTTTTTGGAAGATGCCACTAGCATAAGAGATCTTGGAGTTATATTCACTTCTGACTTTTCGTTCCTTAGTCATATTAAACATATTACATTATTAGCTTCCAAAAGAATGTCAACACATTTCAGGAACCCGAACACATTGTATATTCTCTTTAATGCTCTAGTTCTTCGAAACCTTGAATATTGTTCCCCTATCTGGAGCCCATACTACCAGACCCATGTAGACTGCATTGAAAGAATTCACCAGAAATTCCTACGGATCGTCTCCTATAAGATGGGTTGTCCCATTCCAATTACTTGTCATCAATATGACGTAATTTTGTCGGGATTAGGGTTTCTTACGCTTGAACAACGTAGAACTATACATAGTATGTTGTTTGTGTATAAAATTATCAATATCTATGTAAATTGTCCCGAAATTTTACAATTAGTTAAATTTAATGCTCCGGCGAGAATTACTCGAAATACGGAATTATTCCATATTTCAACATTCAAATGACATTATACATACAATAATTGTATTAATTGTATCCCTGTCCAACCAGTTTAACTAGTGTTTGGACTTCTTTAGCGGTTCTCTGTATTCCTTTAAAAAACATGTCACTAGTGTTGAACGCACTGCAACGTATAACATACGCAATTAATCAGACATTTGCACATATTATGTAACAGTATTATATCGAAGGGCGTAATAACCAGTAAATAAATAAATAACAGTATCGAAACTCGAGAATTTCGAACGAAATAAACTCTTACGACTTCCCTCAGTTTATTCGTGCGCGTTATTTTCAAACTGTACAAAAAAGTCTTTTTTATTTCCGCATGTATTGTTGTATTATGTAAAGTGAAGAAGAAAATTTACATAATTTTTACATCGATAACGCACGAAACACAGTTAATAATTATTATTCAAGTAACGTTAAATGCAAATGTGCCTGCAACAGAACCGCGCGAAAGTTGTTTCGAATTACGAATACGATTGATTTATTCATCGGTCGCGAACAACGTAGTTATCATTCATTTGTTCTTCTCGTTACTCGCAAACTACTCGATTAATAGCAACGACACTCCTCGCGACAGAATCGGTTGAGCAGCCTGTATATTCGGTTTCCGGTGTATTGTACTCATTTAATGCACTTTGAGAGGGGGTTGAAGGTGAAGTGTTGCAAGGATTAACAACGAGAATTAAAATCGAGCACGCGAACAATGTGACGCTGATTTCGTTTAATTTGCTCAGACAGAAAAATCATTGCTATTCCAGTGTCAAAGACTTTAAATCTCCGTCGTCTTCGGGCCTCGAATTTTTCAGAATTTTGTTCTCCGTGATTCTTTGGCTCAAAAAATTGCACGTCATTTGTAAAAAATATTAGTTCCACGGAAACTATACCTTCTTGTCACGATTCTTCTCGAAACCGTCTCGTTTTATAAATCGTAAGTTCGCCAGAATGTCCCGCTACCTTTGATACATCGCTATTCAAAATTCTTGTTACCGTATGAAAGGATCAACGTTACACATTCTCTCTGAGAAAGCGCTCTGTGTGCATACAATTAATAATTCTTCGCCTATTGTAACCGTTTGTAGGACAAGCTAGAGCCTGTGTACGGTCTCCATTGATCGAAATATCAGTTATCGGTGACGCACACGAACTCTTACTCGTTTTTCAAGCCAGTTTCTATCAGAAAGGAGTTTATCTTGGGAACACGCATTATATAGAAAATTCGTATTATCTTTCTCAACATTTTAAGTAGAATATTACAATATTTCAACAACTAGATCGTCATTAGCTACGATGG